ATTGTATGTTGTTTTACGTCCCATTTGATAATTTTTCACTCATATAAAGACGTCACCATATACCGGTGAAGGGCTTCAAATTTATACCTTTACTCGGTACTCAGGGTCATTGAGCAGTGAGGGATCGATCTTTATCGTGCCAACGCCTGCTGTGACACGGGACCTCGGTTTTCAAGGTCTCATCCGAAGGACCTGCGCTTTCACTTCAAAGTTTCGAGCGCTTGTCGAAGGAACAGTTGCTACCTATTTTTTTATGCTTTACGAGAACTCCATTAAACACCACAGAAAAAGCTGATATAGATTATAGGAGTCCCTTGAAATCACTTTAGCTTGTCTATGTTCAGCAGAAAGTGCAAATCCTAATCTGAGCTGTCGCAGTAAGAACCTAGTAATATCCTGTGTCTGCGAGTAATTGCGTAGCTTTTGCTTTAATTTAGTTAAAATAATGGCATTGTAAAAAAAAACATATATACTGAATACGGCACTGATTACTGTAATTTGTTTCAAGATTATACAGAAATACGTACTAAATATGTAGATTTTTATATGTGTAATATATGATACGCGAGTAAACATTTTATCAGTCCCCTACAAGTGAAACCTGAGGGGACTACATGTTTCCTGTCCATTTGTCTGTCAGTTAGTCTGTCCCAGTTGGTTTTCCAGATTTTTTCCCCACATGCTTGCAGACATTAAGCCGATTTTTTGTATACGTGTCTATATTAATGACTTGAAGATCAAGCTTGCATTTCTTTCCTCTTCAATGAGTTTTGACGAAATTAATATGATCATTTTTAAGGCGACCGGACTACACATGCTGGTAGTGGACTTGTACATGCTTCTGCAATATAAGTTGATTACAGATTTTTTGTTCACTATTTTATGCATTAAAGTTTAATGATCCTCCAAGTCAATCAAGTCCTTGCCAATTACCATGCATTTCACTGGATCCTTTTTGTCCATATACATCGTCAAATCATCTGGGCCCTTTTTACAAAAGAACTTACGACAAAGACCAAAAATTGAGTTGATCGTAAAATCTTGAAAAATCATTGATTTCTTTTATAAATTGCTTGATTAAAAATATCTTCCTAAATTCTTTTAAAAGATTAAAACCATTCTCAATTGCAAGTTAATGCAAAATGGAAAGTTATTCGCGAAATTACAGTTTGATCTTTGTCGTAAGTTCTTGAAAAGAACATGGTATGTTGATGGCCATATTTGGCCCCATATTGACATACATAGCAAAAACACAATACCTGTGATAGTTTGTAAATAAAAACCTAAAATTACTAAGTTGTATTACATGTACTAGTAACCAGTATAATATGTCTCTGATACTAGTCTAAAAAATATATGTAAATTTAGTAGATATGCGAGATTGTGCTCTGCATTTTTAATTAAAGCAAAATTCACATGGTAACAGATAGTGAGTGTGACCTTGACCTTATGGGCTTAAGTCGAGAAACAGTATAAAAATATATAATCAAGTTCATCAGTGTAATTAATGTTCTCAATTTATAGTCGAAGCACGATCATTGCAACGTCTTTTTACGTATTGACTGAAATATAACATGAAGAAAAGATCATGTCATTCGTTCCACTTCGAATCACATGACATGTAATAAACAATTAATTGTAGTGTCTTAGAATTTTCTACTAAGTAAAAATTTTCAATATGCCAATTAAATGACTAATTGGCAATTGAAAATTGTTAATGAGTGAAAGACACTAGTATTCTAAATTTAGAATTCACAACAATCAAGGATTCCAAAATTATAGAGTGGACACAGATGTCAACGACCCCCCCCCCCCTCCCGGAAATTTTTTTTGGGATCGAAAGACACCCTATCTTCCACAATATATGATTTTATGATGAGAATTCAACCCACACTATACAGTGTAGATAATGTACCTTCATATTATACTGTTATTTTTAAAACATATGAACCTAGGCCTCGATCTCCGGCTTCTATCTTTGTGTCTGTCATGACACCGTCATCAGTAAAGTATCACGTTGTAAATTTTGAATTTACTATAGGTAGAGGTAAATGCAAAATTTACAACATGATAACTAATTTTGCATTTACCTCCGCTTAATATAAATTCAAAATTTACAACAAATGATAATAATAGTGTCCACCCTTTCTTGTTCTCCCTCTATCTGTGCCTTTCTTTGTTTTCTTGTCTCCAAATATATACACTGCATGTACAATTAAGCAACTTCCATGTCTTCCTTCTCATCAGAAAAAAATTATGCTGAATTATGCCATATCTTGACATTTTTTTTAGACTGCATGTGTACAATCCACATATCTGGGATCAAACTGATGGGACAGAGATTTATTAGCATAAAGAATGTGGTTCCTCAAGCTTCATGAAACATGCAATATAAAAAAGTCTGGAATTATCCAAATGCAGCTCAATAAATAAAATCTTAAAATGAGCGTCATTGCTGTCACAGTCTATAGGAACCAATTTTAGCCGGGATGAGAGGCAAACTGTAAATTGACAAATTGTAATTATTGAGGAGGCACATCCACAAAGAAGCTTTGTTTTCTACAATATACTATATATATCGACAAAATTATTGGGATCCCCCCCCCCCCCCCCGTTCCTACAGCCATGCTTTATAATTAGTTAAGTAAATTAAGTATTGTGTAGTCTGCAAAGAGTACTTTTGATCTAAGGTTATCCACCCTAATGTAACATCATTGGTTTTTGCAAAATCCTTCACTAATTATAGATTGGGTTTGATGGAAAGTTTAGTAATATTTATTATTTAAAAAATAAAATCTTTATAAGAAATTGTGCAAAGGGCAATAACTCTTCCTATGTTTCTTGATACTAAAGGCCATACCCCGGTTTAGCACAGTTTAGTTAGTAAAATAAAAGAAGTCTTAACGTCTCTGTTTATTACAGAATGCTTCTCCTAATATCCACAAATCTATATAACAACAATTATTTGAAAATTTTAATATAAAAATGATACCCAAAAATGAGCGGTTTCTTTTCCGTCTGTGATAATATTATGAGTCGTGATAATGGAATATAGTTTTTATCTACATGTATATTGAACCAATGAAAGTATTCCTTTTAAAGATCCAACTGACACATGTGATGTACACGTACGACATTAAAGAATTACATGTAAATGTACAGTTAAGAGATACATGTTGAGTGATCCTTAAGGGCTGATAAAATGTTGATCTTCATCAAGATTTTCTTTAAGAGATAATATTTTATGAGACTTGTGGCAGTCAATCTGAAAATTGAAGACCTTCCCATCAGAATTCTCTCAAAGATAGGAAATGACAAATCTTTCATTTTTCAACGTACTCCTAAATTAAAATTCAAAGTCGTAATTTTTCGGGAGAAAAATACGTACTAGTACTCTGTTTGAAATTATACATGTTATATGAACATTGATCAGCTTCAAGAATATTTGATAGCTTATTCAGATGATACAAACAAACTTTTATAAAAAAAAAAAGTTGAAAAAAAAAACCACTTAAGTCATGATTACATGAGTAAAATGAATAAGTTTAACCGCATAGATTTTATTTTTTTTCATTTCCAAAGTTTCACAATATTGTGATTTTAAGCGACACAAAATTATATGGATCAATAAGGAGGGTTGCAGAAAGGTAGAATTTTGACCATCATAGAAAGTTTACAAATTCTTAATATTTTAGAAATATTTATGACTTAAATTGCATATATAACGTTATACCAATCGGCCAGGCATCCATTTTTTATATCATTTAAGGATGACTGCACTTAAAGACAGGCGAAATTTGCGACAAAATAAACTTTCAAAACAAGCATTTTTCTTTCCATTGCAAGAATGGTCAACATCCAATCTACAACTTACTGTAATTACGTTTAATAAAAGTGTGTATTTACGAAGTTCGAATCTGTTTTCAAAGGCAGGGGTCATCACAATTTCTTGAATCTCCGTTCGATAATGAGGACGCCCACTTTTTTACTGACTTCATGCATAGTCAGCGCATGTTTGTCTATTGTTCTACGTTTAACAGTAGTTGTATATTTGCATAAATAATAATGTGTCAAAAGGAGATTAATAAACAAACATGCGCTCATGGTTAAAAAGAGAAAAAACTGCTTCTTCTTACATTCGCTCTCTGTGTTGTAACCAAGGGTTGTGACATGTTGAATATTATAATTCACCACGTGATTTCTTACCCCAGGTAACTTTGTGAATACTAAATTCCGTCACGTGACTTGTAAGGTAGCATGTTTTGTGCTTACTAGGACATTGTGTTCGAACACGTTAAGTCATCTGGCATTGATATGAAATCTGCTTTAATTACATTGACGTGCTCCTATTATTAATTTCGTTTTGAAACCTTTGTCAGTAGTGTATTTGTGCCATACAGAATGGAGAGGGAGATTGGAAAGAGTGATCACGTTCTTTTTTTCAAACAAGTCATTGTTATTTATCAAGTCTAATTTTAGACCCATTCTTACAATGTTAGCTCGACCTCTCATGCATATCTTATGTTCAATCAAGGGCAGGTAAGTGTAAATTCTCTATAGATCTAATTGGAAAGCAGTAAGGACAAAAAACATTGAATCATTTTATTGTATCACGGTCTAAAATCATTTTAAGATTTAAATTTAGTTCCAAATTGACAGGATTCTTTCATAAACATACAAAAGTGAAATAAGGTTTAGATATAAAAGCAACAGAAGCAACCGAAAAAGACCCAAAAACCGGCGTTAAGTGCAGTCATCCTTTGTCCTTAATTCGTAAATTAAAATATATCAGAGACCTAAAAAACATTATCCATTCATTATCTAATAAGATTTATGAACGGATGGATAAGAAGAGCTTAAAAAGATTATTGGATGCACATTAGATTACTGAATTTAAGAAGTCAGTACAAGATTGTACCTATGACAGATTTGAAATAATTTTTCGCGCCTTTATTCGTTGCCATATCTCGCGAGACAAAACGAGATTATGCACGATTTCCATCATGGAGGCTAAATGTGTTGTCAAGTGAAGCTTTCGCATGCTTGTTTATTTCTGTATTGTGAAGTGCCTCGAAAGATTCAGAGTACAGATGTAAAATATGTATCAATGGATAATTGTAAATAATGACCATAGTTTTGGATAAGTACAGTTTAAGTTAATTAATATGGGTAGCTTAGATGCGACGTCAACGTCGCTTGCTGAGGACTTGCAGGATTTGCAGCTTGATAGACCCACTAAAGGTCTAAAGGTATGTGATGCCTCATACGATCATATTTATTGCAAAATATAAATAAATAAAGAGAAATATTCCACAAAAGTACGAATGCACTTGCAATATTTATTTTGTAGTCGGTAGAGGAACTTGAAAAATTAACGGTTGACGAACATTTGAGTGATATCGAGAGGGCAGTTTATTTACTGAGGTGAGTATAAAACTGTACGAAGTGATGTGTTACAGAATATTATATGAAATTTTGACATAACATATTGAAGCCCTCAAATGACATATGAGTCGTTAATTTAAACAATTTAAATACCTGGGTATGATTATCTACCTTGCTAATCACTTCTTGTTGCCTCTTAAAATACAATGGAAGAGTAATCACAGATTGTGTTTAATATCTGCACTGCAAATATCCGCTTACTAAGATTAAAATCATTGAATGTATTTGTTAGAATTATGACTAGTTAGAGCTGCATGCGACAAGCAAATATATGTCTGTGTTTATTTTAGTGACATTAAATTGCATGCACTTGCGAAAAATATATTCCCAGGTAAAGTATGAAATGAGCTTTCACAGTGGGATTTTTAAAAAATCAAATATTGTTTTGATTCTGACAAAACATTTAGGTGGGCTCAACAAAATACAGCTCCAGTCAGGTTTAATGTGCATGATAATTTCAGTATGCCTAATATTTTTTTTGCATGCACAATTCAGAATAAATAATTTGATATGTTAGTTGTAATTTTTTAGTCCGCTGATCAGAGGTAATTTTGTTTAAAAATCTAAACCCCCTTGAGTAAGTTTAGATTTTCTCCCCCCCCCCCCTTCCCACCCCGTTTTGTTTGTTTGTACTTTAATTTATTTCATTTTATATGTGTTTTATCAAATCAAATTTTCTTGGAAGATTTCCGAATCAATTTAAAATTTTGAATGAATTTACTTTATTTGCATCTTGTCCTTTATCAAAAGATAAAATAAATCAAGGGGTTAAATTGCGATAAGAAATAAGTTTGACAATTTTAATTCTAGCTAATAAAAGTCAGGTCATATTTTAGCACATTCAATGTTATGTCTGAATGCATTCATCGACATTTATGAATATGTGTCTATGCATGTATTGGAACATGAAATGCTGCAGAATTTTTCTTGGGGAGGGGGGATGGAGTGGGGGAAGATTGATCTAGAATTATCAATTCAAATGTAAACACTGTCACTAACACTGCCAGATGGTGATACAGGTTAGAGCCCATTCACTTCAGATGTATTAATTTGTTAATACATGTATTGGACACATCATGCCCTTTTATAGATTTTGAAAACCTTTTCATTTTCCACTTTTGACAAGGTGTTGTAAAATAGGCAGAAGGTAGGGCATTAATATGCTGTAAATACGTGTAAAATTGGCACCAGAATTATTGACAATTATACTATACACCAGGAGTAAGCAACAGAATAGAGAATCAATTTTTCTAATGTGAATTTATCTGCCCTATTGAAGCATTTAATGTATGCCATATAATCTGTTTACCATTATTTAATTATATTCAAACATTGACCCGATTGAATTTTAAGGCAGCTCTTGAGTTTGTATGCTTCACATTATGGATTGATTGCTCAGTTTGTCAATAAAAAATTTAGCAAGCCACTGAGTTGAGAAGCCAGGTATATTCCTGTAAGAGCTTCATCTTTTATTCATATACTTGGGTAGTTTGTAGGAGGGCATGGATATACTACTTTGCCAACTTCCAAGATTAGTTCTACTTGTAAATAGGATTTACTTAGACAGTGTTTGTTGAAGTGTATTTGCTTCAAAATCATCACATGTCATCATGAAACAAGAAATGGTTAAAAAAATAAGTCACATAATATGTCTGAATATAAAATGTCTGAAACATCTCATCCATATTAATTTTTTTTTATATGAAGACTGTAGATGAAACACCTGATTGTGTCACTATGATAAAAGATTAAGGTGTTTCATTTGCCAATGTCAAGGTCAAATGTCAAACCCAAGGTCATCTCTGATAGTAGTGTTGGAAAAATCTCATCCTCATTAATTTCTGTATGATAATTTGAATGAGTCATCTATAGCAAATATAAACATGTTATATTCCTATCTTAAGGTCAAAAGTAGAGTTGTAATGATACAGCAATATATCGATCATATTGATCGTGTGTCTCAACGATACACATATTGTATCGTATTTCCAGAATTATGATACTGGAAGTGGTTTTTTACTTAACAAAAAAATTTTAAAAATCAAAACAAAATGGCGTCCAGTTTTGGAATTCCTATAGTAAGTGATCAAGTAGTCAAAGTGTTCTTTTCCAAAATATACCATAAATTGCTATTATACACATGATATTATACTGTTATACCTTTATAATATCATTACACAGAACAAAAGAAACAATCTTATGCTTTACATTGTATATTCAATTGTATCGTGATACAGAGTTGTATTGTATCATAGTATCATGATACGTATCGTATCATGACAATACCTGTGATACTCAAACCTAGTCAAAAGTCAATTAAGGTCAAGGTCTATTTTTAAAGGAGATAATTTTAGGTGCTCCAGGGCTCGACATTAACGCTTGTCCGCTTGTCTGGTACCAGTGAAAAAAACTTAGGGACAAGTGAATATTGCTGGGCACTTGTCCGATTGGACAAGTGCATTTTAATATAAAGGAGTCTCTAAATAATTAAAAAAAAAAAACGACTGTTGAAAGTTAATCGGTAGTTTCAAGACGGAAGCTGTACATAAAAACCGGAATTCAATCCCGATAGAGATAGCTATTAATTGAGTTCACATTCGATCGGGATCGAAGTTCACTAATTGCATACTACTGAAAAGGCATGGAACATACAAACCTAACGAAGTTTGGCTCACTTGTGGACATTTATGTTGTTGTCAGACCAGAAAGACTAGATAAAATTTCGTTTTATGTGTTTGTTGTATTAATCAATAACATCACGAATCAATCAAGCACATGTCATGTGTAATGGACTTTATTTTAGTTTTCCAGTTGATAGTATTAGATATTTATTCAAATTTTTTCGGACAAGTTAAGTTGAAGTTCGGACAAGTAAATGTCTTGGTCACTTGTCCGAATGGACAAGTAGGAAAAAAAGTGAATGTCGAGCCCTGTGCTCAAGAACAACAGAGGTAATAAAGTTATTGACACAGATAGACAAATGGATAGCTAAATTAATGTCTTCAATTCATAAGACCCGTTTTGATTTGCTTTCTGGCCACAAATTAATATCGTCTTTTTCATATCCGAAAATTATGCTCTATTACAGTGAAATGTGAATTTAATTTGTAGTGTCAAAGTGACTTGAGAAATATGTTCTTTTCTTTATTCTAAATCTTTATCTCATAATTCTGGGGGATAGGTCCCTGCCACACACATAAATAGATGATTTATAATTAGTCTGCAGAAAGGACAAAAAACTCGGTTTGGTGTAAACACCCATGTATATATACCCAATAAGAGTATTAACAAAAGATGTGGAGTAAAGATTTAAATGCCAGTAGTGTATATAGTGATTGTATAATTAAAGCTAGTATCTATTGATCCGGGTCCTGTGAAGTATGTGACTCCTTTGTGTGTACAGTAAGGCACCGTTACTGGCGGGTCTTCAGAGTGTGATATTACAGACACATGTCATAAGTCAGTATTATATTTACCGAGTAATCTGATTATGTCTGACAAAATAAAATAAAGGCCTAGATTTTGAATATTGACCCTCCCCCAACCCCTGACCCTCTGTCGCGCACATCAACCACCCCAACCAAAAAATAAGAAAACAGGATTGAGGCCCAGATTGAAAATACTGTCCCTCACATTACCCCTCACTCTCCCATCCCCCTCTCACCCCCTCACAATCAACCCCCAAATTTGGTAACAATTTACATTATATAGACCCAGTTTAAAATCGGACTCTCTCATGTCTCCCTGTAGGGCTTACTGTCAAACACCCCAACCAAATTAACTTGTTCCTGTGTTGTACAGTGGTTTGTAGCTTTGTTTAATGTTTGACCTGTGTTGTTGTTGGAGATTAAATTGGTTTTTTTGGAGCTGATGACTATCATGTGGGGAATCAGACCTAATTGCTCCTAAAGTTGTAATTATAAACATAAACACAGAAAACTGTATTGATTGTGTGTGTCAACTGATTAGTGTAGGAGCTCCTAGTTCTCTGGTACAATCGAATTAGGTCTGCTTTGGGTATCAAAGGATTTATTTTATTGTCAAAGAGTTTGTTTGATATTCAGCCAGAAAATTGCTTGAAATTAGCCAAAGCCTATTTTAGCCTTTTTTTCCTGTCTAAAATCAAAGTTGTATATCAGAAGTAAATGTTATTGTTAGATAGGCTCGGTGCTTTCCTCCTCAAACAATTGTGCTAATTGCGATATACTATTTTGACATCGTTTATTTTTTCCCCTTTTATTTTAGAGAAGCTGTTGAGTGCTATAGTTTTAGGTTTGAAAGAATCTGCTGATATAAGCTAATGGAAACTGGAAAGAGGCTTGTCCATTTAGCATCCTACACAGTTTTAGAAAAAAGTAACTGGCCGTACCCTAGAACATTACTCATTTCTACTGTTTGTAACAATTAAGGAACAAAGATCTGAACATTATTTGATATCTCCTGATTTTTAAAACTTATAATAGGTTACAACATACACTAGGCTTTTAAAATACTTCAGTCGTGCTTTTTTCTGCATGGGATTAATTTATACTGTGTACGCGGTTACAAATTTTCCACAGAAATTTTTCACAGCGTACTTTAAGGCAGGGGATCTAAGACATACAGTGGCAATCAAAGATTAAGGATTGAACAGAAATTGTGATTCTGCGGAATTGTAACCCCATGGAAAAAAAAGTGCATTTACAGTATACTGAAATACTGCTGTCAATGTCGTAATAAATATAAGCTTTTGCTTTGTCAGTGATGGGCCATTGGAATTGTAAACGCCACCTTAAAGTAGAATGTTTTGATATAAAGAAAAAAATGTTTATCTCAGACATCGGATATATCATACACATTTCTGAATTTGTTATAAACTTAATTCATTATATCCGTATAGCTTAACATTATTTTAAAACCTACGGGTAATGAAAGTCTTTCACTATAAGCGTCAATTCATTATAAGCTTGTTTTACTGTATGTGACAAGGTCAGGAAATTCTGGCATGCTTTACTAATAATAAACACAAATGTTTACCATAGCTTTGGAAAACATTTAGACATGTTTGCACAGAATGAAATGATGCTATAAAAATTCTTTTTTAAAAAAATCCATAAAATGGGAAAATAATTAACTCAAAAATTTTCCACATAAAAAAGGCTTCCCCATTCAGCAGTGAATAATTGCGTTTAATCATAAAGCCATAATTCATTAACACAGAAAACAATCTCCATGGCTCAATAATGCATAGCAGGAATAGCAAGTATAAAGGACGACAAAACTCCTCTTCATCAATAGCTTCTGTCTGAACAGTTAAATCAATCCTCCGATAGCACAGATGACATAATGGCCGATAAGACTGCATGTGTGAAGCACAGAACAATGTAGAAATGTCAGATCTTGACTGTAGGACTGACAATCTTTTCTAATTGTACGAAATTTTGAGTGAAATACCTCACAATCACTAGCAGAGATGTGACAGCTCATTCAATGGCTGACACATACTTAGGAACACACAAAGCCGGAAGAGAGAGCGCTCTGTGACTGCCCACATATTTTATCTGAGCGAGGCTGATGCATCAGCAATCAGCATGTGTGTGTTGTTATGGAGTAGTTCACTGTTTCTTATAATGTGGACATGTTTTCTGTGAGCTTTCTGTTATGGATGACATTGAAGTGTGTTATACAAACACAAGTACCGGAGAAAATGTGAATTTGTTTTGGGACGAGGTGCCCACCTCCTCCCTGGATAATGTCGAGGAGGACAACACGAGGTATGTTTATACTTCTCTAACCCCCCTTTTTCGATCACGAGGAAGTAGATTTTGTCAATGACTCTCAATGTCAGTGGTTCGATGAAGCCAGAGAAGGGAAAATAGAGAGTGTGGAATAAATTGTTTAAATCAGACACTAATTTGTTTGCTCTGTTATGTCGTCACTAAGAAACATGCCTCTGGGTCTTGCAAATGGTGCATCAGAGCATGTGATTTGTTGTCTTTGGGTATTGGAGATGTGTCCCAGCACTCTGGTAACACATAATTATTGAAAATAAATTTCTTGAGAGAGAGAGAGCTAGTTTCCTCATTTGGTGTGCAAAAAATTGCTTTGTCGACCATGTGTGTTTACAGTTGGCTAATATTATTCTGGGAGAATGAATTTAACTTATGTTTACTGTACAGATAATTATGTGTCTATGTATTTTAACTAATCTCTTATGAAGTGTGTTTGAGAATAATGTCTTTTTTCCCCCCTTACATTATATAATTCCAAGTAAAAGATGTGGTTCACTCCCATATAAAATGCTATAATTTACTGTCATGTAGAACTAAAATGTCAAGTACTTACATGTGTATACACTTTAACTTTGCAAAAACAGGAAATTTCAGGGAAACTGCAGGCAATATGTTTCCTAGCTGTCATCAACAAGGAAATATTTCAAAGTTTTTTATACATACATGCATCTTGTTAGCTTTATATTGTTTACATTTTGTTACTATGACTTTTTTTTTAAAGATTGGCATTTGGTAGCAGATTGTTTGTGGTCTATCTTTTGTTTGTCTGTCAGACTGTCCAATTTCTTTTATAAAATCAAGTTTTTAAAATCAGAGTGGAAGGTATAGACTGGGTTTTTTGGAGTATTCAGTCAAAGAGAAGGTCATGCAGAGAGAGTATATTAGGTCAAGGTTAAACTTAGGGGTTAGAGGTCAAATAAAATTGGTCAAAACCGAAAAAAATTGTGCCTACAATGCCCTACATATCATTTGTAATTTCTAATCAAACCTTCTGTATTTCAGCGGATAGAATAGATGAAGATAGAAAGTCTGATTTTGAAATGATTGAAAGCGGCTTGTCGTATGAGTGTTCCAGAACATTATATTCAGTTCAATACACAAAGATTACATTTAATTTCTCCAGTGAAAATCAAACCATGTAGTCAAGTCAGATAGGGTTTTAAAGATCAACATTGGAGGGGACCCACATGAATGAGAAGCAAAATTAGATTTATTGTTAGAGAGTGTAAGAGATTCCTTTATTTCTGAAGGGTCCTATATTCAATTATTGTAAAAAGAAATTAAAATTTAATCTAACAGTTTTTCTTCTTTGGATAGTCACACATGATCTCAATTTTTGATAATTGGTAAATTAAACGTTTTGATTGATAGCACATGTGTTCCATTATAAAGGTAATAGCAAGGATGTCATTGATGAATGCAGCAAATTATTTTCCAGTCTGAAATTAAATTTCCAGTATTTCTCTGAGGGGATAAAACATCATATGTGCCAGAAAACTTCATGATTGAAAAATTGAAGCTTAGGTGCGATGATTAGACCTTGAGATTAAAGTTTTTGTATTATCTTTTAAATTTTTTTTTATAAACTTTTATTAAGCCCCAATTACATACATGTTCACAGGCTGTAATAGATAAGATGGGCCCAGATCTCTACATCATTCTCTTTTACTAACATCTGTTTTATCATCATTCTCACTGAAATCTAATGTCATTATAAAGAAGAAGCTGATAAAAACTTTAAAAACTTCCAACTGTTCAGGCATGATGTTTACATGTGATGTAAGAGAGATGATTCAGTTGTTGGTGCTACATGACTGTTGAGGAGGTGATAAATTGACCTGCATTATCTTCTTAATTGGGGGATGCTTCATCTCTGTGGGGGTTTTATTTTACTGTATTACAGCTGGTGCTGTTTCATTCCTCCCCATGCCCTCCTTGGGACAGGTTGACTAATGCTGTGTTGCCAAATCCGTTAGAGAGTTAGAGGAAAAAAGTCAATATTTACATTTGTTGGTCATTTATTGATTTGCCTATGGCTTTATCCAGTGATTATGTCTATAGTTGCATACTATTACTAGCAATGCTGGCAGGCATTTTACTAAAATTAGTTGTTCAGTGTGTTGATGCATTCTAATTCTATTCATAAATCATGAGGCCAGTTAATTGACACAGTATTTGAAATGAAAACTGCATAATGGCAGACTTCACGTTCTGACACTTGTTAACGGGGTGTGAAAACGCTGCTGCAGCAGTCATCTGATAAACTGTCAATTTTTTCTTGTAGACTATTGATGATATAATTGAGAAATGAAATATTGGTATGACGTATGACATATGAAGTCCTGAATGTCCGATAAGCTCTTGTTTTGATGGGTATTTTCTTTCAATGAATCATTCACAAATATTTTTAAGGTAATTCAATAAATTCAGAAATGGCTAAATGGAGAGAGGGGAAAGAGATGGTCTTATGATTCACTGCGGGTTCTCCTAGGGTCACAGAGACAGACTGCCAGATACTGTTCACTTGCTTCTGATAATTATACCCCCTGATTAAAGCCTGGTGTGGGGCCTCATTATGTTCTGTCTACTATGATTATAATGTGTTCCATATGACACCCTCAGAAAGCAACACTCACTTTCCCAGATGTTGGTCATTTCCTGCGCTGTCTGTTGTGTCTTGTATACACATCGTTGTCTTCTGGAGATAGACAGGCAGGCATCACTATCCCATCAGACATGGCTTGATGAGCCTTGCCTTTTGACTTTATGAGAAAACTCTTTGTATTTTCTCTTTGTGATATTCAATAGTCTTCTTTCAGGGAGAGGAATTTGTTTCTGTTTTGCGTGATGAACATAATTGACTTCAGTAATTTTTTTTAGTAATAAGATTATTTTGAAGATACTTTGTGGAAGGACAGATTTCAGAATAATTGACATCAAAGAAATATTGAAGAGGTCAAGTGCAGAGAAAAAACATTTTCAGGAGACTGGGATTTATTGAGGTTTTATATTGCTTATCTTTGTATCTTCCATGAGAGCATATTGGAAGAGAAAACTAATCAGAAAATCTGTCTATTGGCAGCTATTATTCAGATTCAGAATTTAAATTCAATGATTTTTTTCTCCCCCTCGTCAACCATTATGCAATTCGTAGGGGCAAATTGATGTATAAGATAGCCTTCTTGTACAGCACGATATAATAAATGTGGCAAAAATGGCTTTCCTGTAGCGAGAGTAATTATCCAATAAAAAAGGGTTAGATCTGTGGAAAAAAAGAGTTTTGGTGCCAGATGCCTGGTTGGAACACCTCATAAGCTTGTGTGTGTACAACCTGATAAACAAGGATAAGATCTTTATTATGAGAAATTAATGAATTTAAGCCCCAGCTTTCATATATCAAAAATCGGCAGGAGATTATTTCATTAATCGGAGCATCCGGGCACAAGATGTCTGTCTTGATGATAAAAAAGGTCCTGCGATTCAGTTGTGTAGTAGCATTGATATCTTACTAGATTTACTACATTAAACATGACTGTTGATCAAAGAAGTTATGATCAAACATGCTTATATATTCTCCATAAAACTATATCAATATCACAAATATAAAGGTGAAACAATTTTAAGCCTAGTTTGTTGTATGTCATATGGAGCCTGTTTCTTACAAGTGCTCGCGTATCAGTAGATATTACATGTGTAGGGTGATGTATAAAAATCCTTTCAAGTGGTCACTGTGACAAGGCTGGCTCTCTGGGGGAAAAATTAAAGAAGCATAATGTAGATGAGATTGTCTGTTAGTAGTCTTGCAAGAAAAAAAGGGCTCATCATCTACTGAAAAATGTTTTGGAATGGACTTTCTAAGAGAAGAAAGTTAGTATTTGACAGAAAGGAAAGGCAGTCTTTTTACATATTAATTTTCCTTCCAATTAATTAAATGTTATTTGTCATAAAACCATATTCATATGGATTTTGCAGAAATCTTGTTTTAATTAGTTTACCTTATGAAGCATTTGGAGAATTTAACAATTTTTTATTTGTTGCATTTGTTTTCTGTGATATTTCTTTTTTGATGTTAAATCTGAATTTTCCTCTGTGATTTTTCAGTTCTGGACAAGAAGTACAAAGGATAAGTGTGATCCACAACCTGCCGGACTTACTCCGCGACACCGAGAGTCATGATGAGTGTATGCGACGCGTCGTCCCTAAAGTCAGGGTAAGTTCTGATTGGTCAGATTATCAGGGTATCAATGAATGATGCAATCCGTTTCTCCTTGTTCATTAAGTCCATGTAAAGTTCAGTGCCAGATGTGGGTCTCTCATATGCAGAAGATACCGTTAGTAATTGCATATTTATTTTAGCAGGATTCATGTAAAGCGGCTTCTGGCATTGGTTCTTTATTGATGCTCATTGCCAAAATATGATTTTATATAAGTATATTTGTAAAAACACTGATGGCCCTAATTTATGATTACAGTAAACTGTCCATGACCTCCCAAATGTTCTATATGCTAGAAAAAGAAAAAAAAGCAGGCTGAGTATTGTGAATTTGATATCTGGTCATGAGAAGTTCTCTCCCCTTAGATAAATGTACTGCTTGTTCCGTAATTTGTGTATGCTACTGTGCAGTCTAACAGTTTCAGTGATGAATTTGTGCTCCCTGTTCAATTCAATGTGTCAGGTGTACAAACATATGGTTATAACTATTGGTGTGCTTTTAATTGATTGTGGTAAACTCTCGTCAATATGTTACACCTGTAAGATAGAATTTCAATTCCCCAGCATGAATAACAAACCACAATCCAGAAAAAAATTCTGTTATGGATTTTGTTTGATGGTGTTTTTTTTTTTTGTTCATGTTTTTTTTTCTTCCTTTTCAATATTGGTCATAGATAGGAATGTTTTTGAGAGATTTAACAATGACCCTTCAATTCAAAGAGTCCTCTTATTGTAGGATTCTTTATATATTCATGTGTGTAGGGTATAGTTTTTGTAATAGATGTTGAAGTAGCCAGAAGAGGGGTTAGGGTATACACTTAAAGGTGGGAGGAGGGGAATTTTAAACCATACTTGTATACCATCAGTGTTTGAATTAGGACAGCTCATGTAATATTTGTGTGTACTGAGAAGAATGACTTTTATGGGGATTAGGCCTCTGAGAGAGTGCTTCAAAAAGAAAAGAAGAAAATTATATAGAACTTTTACAAAGCTCATCTGTAATGTTAAGCCAGAGAGAGAGAGAGAGAGAGAGAGTGTAAATTTTGTCAATTTAGTTTAAATCTTGTCTTGAGCAGGTGTCGTAGACAGTTATCTTCTTGTCATTATGTGATGGGAGAATATAGAATCACAACATGAGAGGCCATAAATCGGAATTATGAACAGATATAAGCATTTGTTTTTCGTATTATGACACAAACGCTAGGCCATGAAGGCCCGGGGCCAGTATTGATTAGCAAGCAGGTCTCAGGATGAATGCCAAGTTATGAATTTCTGATCCCTCCGTAATCTTTTTTTGGAAACGAGCACTGGTTTTATGGCAAATGAAACTAAGTGTAGAAGTAATGCTTATGTCTCCATCATTCCCAGACCAAAAATTTTGAATTAAAGTGATATATATATTCTTTGAGTCAGGTGTTGGTGATAGACAGGGATTTGTAAACTTCTTTTGTGTCGTGATAATATGTTTTATCATTTTTCAATTCAATTTTGAGCTTGAATAGAAACCCCTCTCTTGGATTTATTTTTCTTTTTTGTCAAATCAGTCACTTCATATAAATTTTATTATCAGAAATATTGAAGCACCTTGATTTGAGCAGAAACCTTTGCAAAAGAAATGCAGATTCTTGAGACTTTAGGAATTTTAATTAAAATGACTACATGTACCGTGGTGGTATTTTGGTGTCCTTTAATGAGGAAAGTTTTGGCAACTGCTTGAAGATAGCAGTGAAGGCTATGAAAGAGCAAATTAGATCCAAATAACTATAACAAGGACTCTGTGTGAGATTTTTTTCCTCTAACTGGCTTTTCATTCATCTGTTCATCAGCTGTTCCTGTACATTACATAAATTAAGTACAGTGTATATCTTAAAACTATGGTCAGGTGGATCTGCAAGGATATTGAAAAATCTCCCAGAAATATATCAGATCATTACTGAAAGAGGTTAAGTGTGTAAGTTAAAAAATTCACTGTTTCCCATCTGCTACCCTGAAGTTTAAATGTTGAGTAACGATATGGGAAAGGAACAAAATTTTTATTTTAATAGACTGTTTATTATGTTTTATCGCAGGTAGTATGTAATATTAAAAAAACATTGCTAAGAAAAGTATAAAGAGAAAGAAATATTTATTTATGCATAATTGTGTATTATTGAAAACAATCTTGTCAAACACAAATATAGAATAACAATAAGGGTGTTTAAAACTAGACACTTACGAACTATCTCCTACTGTATCCCAGTAGACAAAATAAACTGCGTTAGTCAGTGGTATTTTAATTAAAGTCTGCCTTCTGTAATGGCATCTTACGTCTTTGTTAATGCAGTTAATCTCATTGTGTTTCCAGACTCTTAAAACATACTGATTCATTTTTCACCAGTGACAAATTTAATTCTGTTGTATATAAATTTTACTTCTGTGTCTAAAGCTAATTCTCTGTTTGCTTTGCCAATTCATGAGAAGTTCAATTACTTTTACGTTCTTGCACTTAGAGAAACCACTATGTGTACACCCATGAGAAATATTTTGCAAAGAGAAAAAAAATTTGCACTCAGTTTTGTAAAACTCTGTTCATGTACGATACTTCATTTTGACCTGTAGGTAAGTGCCTCTCCCAACCACTAAGCATTGAGTAGTGCAAGTGTACTTTTCTACAATATACATTTTATTTCGCTGTATGTAGTATCCCTAACAAATCCCTAATGAGCTTTATATAATGCACATGATGATATTTGCATATATTTAAACTGTTACGGGACTTAGAGTAGAAAATTGTTACACTTCAGAAAGTGCATCTTAGAGGCTTAGTACATAGCCTGCATAGAGTGTTTCCGGTTGCTATGTTTTCCCGTCCAAACCCTGATTAAATATGCATCATCCATATAGGGACTTTTTTCCTATCAAACACAGCGTGATCCGGGCCCATGTTCCGAATTAGTGGTAGATGTGATAAAGGGGACGTGGGGTGGTTCACAATGTAGTGTAAAGAGATAGCACTTTACATCAATTGACAGAACAATTTACTGACTGAAATAAGTTTTACTGCATTTTAAATGTTGAGGGCAAACATCTATATCATTGATGACAGCCGCGAAAGAACCAAGACTTTATTTAGGGTGCATAATCTTGCTGTTGGCACCCAGAGAGAAGATAGCATGTGTACACAGTTGATAAGGTTAAAGTTTCTACTACTGATAGTTGCCATCCTAAATCAAACAACTATAATTTGAAATTATGAAGATTTATAAAAATGATAACCAGGAAATGCTGAATGTATCTGCCAACTGCACCATGAATTTATGGAGCCTCGCACCTTCAAAATAATCAGTGGGAATGATACCAAGATATGAAATATATGTAAAAAAAATAATGCATAGGCACACTTCCATTTTCCTTTTCTTGAAGCTATTAATTATAGCTGTCTCAAAAGAGTGTTTTAGTGGAGTGCTGTGTTACCCTGTAGTTATATATTTATACCTTATTCACTTCCGCGAGCGAAGGTATAGTCTAAAGTTCCTCTTTGTCTAATTTTTAGCCAGGAACCATGCATGTGTGTTTAAAGGGGGGAGGTTCACTCATTAGTATAACATTTTTATGTTTCAAATTGTTTATGAGTTAATCTGTGATGGACCTTTTAATATGATATTTTACATGGTATCATGGGGCCATATCATGGTGTATTTTTAATGCTGTGGTAAAACATGAAGGAGGAATTTCCTGGTGAGATTATTGACTGTCACTTAGTCATTATAGGTTATAAATAAATTACAGGAGGTACTCCATTGTAATTGACTGATACTTAGTCACTATAGGTTATAATTACATTACAGGAGGTGCTCCATGGTAATTGACTATCACCTAGTCACTGTAAGTTATTAATACATGACAGGAGGTGCTTCATGGTAATTAATTGTCATTTATAGTCACTATATGTTTTGAATACATTACAGGAGGTGCCCCATGGTAATTGACTAGCACTTAGTCACTAATAGGTTATGAATACGTGTCAGGAGGTGCTCAATGGTTATTAATTGTCATTTAGTCACTATAGGTTTTGAATACATTACAGGAGGTGCTCCATGTGGCCCAGACTGAGATGCAGCTGGCCGCTTCCTCAGCTTTCCTTCAGATCTTACAGAAGAACCTCGTTCCTATCCAAAATTACTCACAGACATTCCTACAGACAATCCTCAATAGTGTGGACAGCAAAGATCCAGGTAATATAAAGCAAAGAACTAGGTAATATAGCAAAGAAACAGGTAATATAGCAAAGGTCCATATAACATAAATCAAAGATCCATATAACATATAGCAAAGATCCAGATAATATAGCAAAGAACCAGGTAATATAGCAAAGAACCAGGTAATATAGCAAAGGTCCAGATAATATAGCAAAGAACCAGGTTATATAGCAAAGAAACAGGTAATATAGCAAAGAACCAGGTAATATAGCAAAGAAACAGGTAACATAGCAAAGGTCCAGGTAATAAAGCAAAGATCCAGGTAATATAGCAAAGAACCAGGTAATATAGCAAAGATCAATGTAACATATAGCAAAGGTCCAGGTAATAAAGCAAAGAACCAGGTAATATAGCAAAGAACCAGGTAATATAACAAAGGTCCATATAACATAAAGATCCATATTACATATAGCAAAGATCCAGATAATATAGCAAAGAACCAGGTAATATAGCAAAGAACCAGGTAATATAACAAAGGTCCAGGTAATATAGCAAAGGTCCAGGTAATATAGCAAAGAACCAGGTAATATAGCAAAGAATCAGGTAATATAGCAAAGGTCCAGGTAATATAGCAAAGAACCAGGTAATATAGCAAAGAAACAGGTAATATAGCAAAGAACCAGGTAATATAGCAAAGATCCAGGTAATATAGCAAAGGTCCAGGTAATATAGCAAAGAACCAGGTAATATAGCAAAGATCCATGTAACATATAGCAAAGATCCATGTAATATAGCAAAGATCCATGTAACATATAGCAAAGATCCAGATAATATAGCAAAGGTCCATGTAATATAAGCAAAGATCCAGGTAATATAGCAAAGATCCATGTAATGCATCTATAGTAATATTTCAAATATACCAAAATTGTACCTTATAAGATAAGGCAAATAATGTACCCATGTAAAATACATGTATAGCAAAGAACAATGTAATCTAGCAAGGAACCAGATATTACAGCAAAGATCTAAGTATTATAACAAAATTTCAATGTAGGTAAGACCCAGGCAACATAACAAAGAACAGACCCCAAATATATATCTTAGATCCTCTATTAATAAAACTCACCAATACTTAGTTTCAGAAACAGATGTATTTAGCTGAAGCAGTTTTAAAGGATAAAAGTTAAAATTAAATGACATGGAAAGTTCAGTAAAACTTCCGCTGAATGTTAGATGTCTGGTATTTTTATGATCGTATGTTTTAGATGTGGCTTCAGCCTGGTTGGATACCCTACTAGATGTCATCGATCTCCTACCCAAAGAAGTCATCAAAAAAGAGGTCAGTTTATTACAACCCCTCCCCCTCTCCTCAAGTCCCAGATAGACCCTCCAGTTGATTGATTAGTACCTTACACCCAGCAAATCTTTAAGAAACTTCCACATTAATATTTCGTAATTACATCATAGTAGAACTGAAATAACATCTTATTTGTAAATTGATATTGGACTTGTATAAGCTGCAGGGGTTGTGTCTTTTCAGAGGCACACCAGGAATAACATTTATATTTAATAGCCAATATAAAAACTAATAAAAACTTTTATATTCAGTGATAAAGGAACCTGTTCACAGCAATTACATAAAACTCTTTGTAAGAAGTTGTTTGTGGTTCATGTGTGAAAGACTTTTTACAGAACTTTAAATATTTTACTGTTGTTTTATTATAGATTCTGGGGTCTGCCATCGCCAAGGGACAACTAGCTCAATCGGTTCAGTCACGATTAGCATGCTGTCGAATTCTGGGCAAAATATCTACCAAATTCGAACCATTCGTGTAGGTGACAAATTTTTTAATTTTTTTGTGTGTTTACTTTTTGTCTGAAGTGTATGCAAGGTGCATTAAGTGGTACATGTACAAGGTGCAAATATACACTGTTCTTTTATGTCTTACTTTAAATAAACAATATTGATTCAGAAAATCAGAATAGTTTGGGCAACAGGCAATGCCTTATATATATAAGTGCCCTCTCCATACAAACAAAAGAGTCAGGTCTTGAGATAAAGATTAATAATTCTAAATCATTCGATCTTTATAACTGAATTGATAAGTAGCATATTATTCAGTTCCCCAACTTGTTTCTAGATAGCATTTTTAATACATGATTCATAACCTCTGTTATCTGTGCTGAGTATATGAATTATGAATTAGGTAGCTTATGCTTTTGTTATTAAAGATTTATTTGAATTTCAGAATCAAGAAAGAGATTCTACCTGTTGTACAGTCCCTTTGTCAGGACGTCGATTACGAGGTCAGAGGTTGCATGTGTCGGCAGTTAGACTGTGTTGCCAGGGGGCTAGGGTCTGTATAAATAATACCATAATTATAAATTGATGTGAAAAACAGAATTTGTTATCTAAAAAAAAATTGTATTATTGAACATTTGTTACAGGGTGTTAATCTAAATGATAGGTGATGTATGAAGATTTCTAGTTTTATGACAAGACTGTTTATCATGTACAGTCCCTGAAACGTTCTACTTTCCCATTTTTCCGTTCGCTCACCGTTCGTTCACCGTTCGTTCAGCGTGCGTTCACCGTTCGTTCACCGTGCGTTCACCGTTCGCTCTCCGTTCACAGTTTTGCGTTCAGCGTTCACCGTGCGCTCGCGTTCACCGTTCACAAAGCGTTCACCGTTCGCTCTTCGTTCGTTCACTTTGCGTTCACCTTGCGTTCAGCGTTCACTTATCGTTCAGACTCCAGTGTCATTCGGAACTCCGAAGTGAAAGGACTTATCTTTTATTTAAGTAAGGATTTACAGGTTTTGAATTTAATAAATAACATACCGTGTTTAATGAATCATTATTTCATGGGGAAAAAAATTATCTACAATATTTATTTTTATTATTCTAACTTAGCTGTTAGGTTATTTATAAAATTTATTTGGAAAATTAATGTTGTTATCAGTACATGTATGTACCTATGTAGAACGATGCTGAAAAATTAAATTTAAATACGGGCAAAATACTGATACTTCAAGCACATCAAACATTTTGTTGTTATGTTAAAGACGACAAATCGTTAATGGATAGATAATAATCGAAGTCAATTAATTTACCAACTGCAGCAAAAATACGAAAATATTTATTTTATCAAATTTTTTTCAAATAATACAGAAATACATGTTAGAACTTGTTCTGAGAATGATGAACAGTACTGCGGATATCCAATTAATTAAATATCTTTAGAGCGAATTAAATTGATAGTGTGGTTTAAAAGAAATATTTGTTTAAAATGTAATACATTAAAGAATTTTTTTTCTCCTTTACATATATAAAGTCTTTAATTAGAGAGAGAGAAATGCCTTTATAACATGATTATCATTTATATAACCAAAGTGATTCTCCAGTAATGATATTTTTCACGTAACTTTATATGTTTGTCATTCGATATTATTAAGAGCCCCCCCCCCCCTTTCTCCTAAATCGGTTACTTAGGTAGTATATCCAGTACATTTTAATTAACATTTAAAAAGAAGTTAATGTGTTTTGTAGCACAAATATTTCAGTCTGAAAACAAACATGCATCTAAACAAAGTCATTAAACAGTAGTTAGTTCAAAATATACATGTGCCGGCGGTGATATTTTAAATTGGCAGGGAGTATGTTTCAAATTCAAGCGGCTTAATTATTCCAAGTATTTATTCCCAATGTATTTTATTTATTTATTTATTTATTTATTTTTAGAAATGTTGGAATCAGATCTAGAAATGATAAGAAAAATGTTAAAACTACTTGGAAATACTAACACTTTGCCTTCGTTGTGACGAGATTTTCACACCTGCACAGTGCCGAATGATTTTGATTGACAGGTCAAGCACGTGGACTTCGTGTGAACTTGAAGCAGGAAAATAAAAACCGATTATGACTGTAAAACAAATGAATTTGTTGATAAAAAAAAGGTACTTTCACTGCCTGATATATTTAGAAAAATATTAGAATTTTTGTTTGATATAGGTACAAACATTTGAGGAAGGGGGGGGGGGCTAAAACCGAATCCCTCTCTCTCTCTCTCTCTCTCTCTCTCTCTCTCTCTCTCTCTCATTTGTCTGTTTAATAAAACTTACGACAGCATATTACTTAAATATCAAGTTGTGAAAATTTTATATATAACAAATAATATGATTGCCTCTTTATATCATCTTGTCCGAGTATAATCACGGCCAGGAAATGTCTACAGATACATGCAGAAGTCTGCTCAATAAATCATCATAAAAAATAAAACTGACACATAAATATATTATTGCATTAAAATTTTGAACTGTATATTTATGCAATACGTCCACATACCTTTGCAAAATATTTCTTTTTCTCATTATTTTACACGGAATCGCCTTGTATGGTTGTTACAACCGTTGTAATTCATTCTATAAGTCCGTAGTTTTCTCTTCTAAAATCCACATCATTTTAATGGTTTTATACATCAAATAAGAATAAACATATTTATTTCACAACTAGATTAATTTCATCTGTTATACTACAGCGTTCGGTAACAATTACAACGTTTTACTGCGATAAGAATCGTGTTATCAAAAAGTTGAATTTAAACATCGTACATATGTGCAGAAATATTGTAAGAAACTTAAATTAATAATTTTACTTAATGTACATGTATCGACTTTCTTAGGACAATTTTCATTGATTTGTTTATTTATTTTTTATCTATTTTTTTAGCACCAGGCATTCGAATACAATAGAATAGTTTCAATGCAAGGAAAAGATCAGAGGCATTCCGAATAAATCGTTCATCTTGCGTTCACCGTTCGTTCACCGTTCACTTTGCGCTCGCGTTTGCGCTCCGTTCGCGTTCTGCGTTCGCTCACCGTTCACCGTTCACACATCGTTCACCAAGTTGCGTTCAGCGTTCACACATCGTTCACTCACCGTTCGCTCTGCGTTCGTTCAGCGTTCGTTCACCGTTCGTTCAGCGTTCGCTCACCGTTCAAGTGGGAAAGTAGAACGTTTCAGGGACTGTAACATCATCTTGTGTAAATATTCCAGCCAGGAAAGTTAATAAAGGTAGAAGATCATTATCTGTTTGTTCCATTGTGTTACACAAAACATGGTAGAATTTTACTGCTACCAGGCAATCTGCACAAGCTCTATGTGAATCAATACATCAGTAGGTCACTTTGTATTCAAAACTTATTGAAAAGTCTTCACATGTTTCAAATTTCTAAGAGGGAGTTGTTGCTATATGCATTGGTTTTGCATGAATGTTCATATGTACTTGGATATTGCTTACTGTTGCAATAATTTGAAGACTCTATCAAAACTATGTCTTTTTTTAAGTAAATGCTATGCAGTTATGTCTCAAAAGTAAATAAAAGTCTAGTGAAGTTTAAGTGGTATATAGTATTATACTGTATACCACTATAGTTCCATTGGCCAAGACAATTTTTATGCCAGCATCGTAGTATGAACTAAATAGGCTTGTAGCAGAAGTGGGCAATAACGACTTATGTCTGTTAACTTTTTTGTACAAAAGACATTAAAATTATGTCTTAGAAATATAATGTTACCTGTATAGGCTTTATGAAATATAAAAAATAAGAGAAAGAAAAAACAAAAAACACACAAACTGTATGTAATTTTACAATAGTTCTATTGCTAGGACAATTTTCACACCATAACATGAACTCTGACCTCTGAATTCTATATATAGGTTGGAGGCCACAAAGAGTGCAATACTTCCAGAGCTTGTAGAGTTGACCAATGATGAAGAATGTCATGTACGGATAGCTGGTCTGGAGACCGTGGTCAACATTCTCAGTCTGCTGGACTCAGGTATAGATGACCAGTCACGGGGTACTGGGGTACAGTTCTGTTTTCAGGTGGTTTGTAGAGTGATGATACTGCTTAGGAAAAGTAAAAATCAAACTAACAACATAGGCTTTTATTATTCAGTTGGTTTGTAGAATCATTTTAGGTTTGATTTATAGAAAATGAACATACATGATAAATACAACATCACAGGTTATTTTAGTGAACTGCAAATTTTAGTGTTTTTATCCTTAAAGTTATGTATTTTTATTACTAGCTTAATTTTTAGCCACTTAAGGGATAAATATTTTCTTGGACAGCATTTGTGACTGAACTGTCACTCATTCATTAGCAATGGCAAAACCATAGCAATGTCCGAAACCCACGTGAAACGTTTTTCAATAAGTACATGCGAGATTGACAGTGGATTTCTGATGATAAGGTCATAGTTAATAATGTCAAAATTTGGATGGTTGCTAAAAATTCAGGCTAGTGATGTTGGAAAAATTTTTGCTAGAGGATGACATGAATTTTGTTTGTTTCAGAAACTTGTGGTACCACAATAATTCCTCTGGTGTGTAAGATCTGCCAGCAGGCAGTGCAGGCTGAAGATGCCACGTTACCTGTGGTGGCTACTCAGCTGGGCAAGTTGTGTCATGGTATTTCAGGTGAGTGGTGATTGAAATTTACTGAACAATGTTAAAAGAGAAGCATTCTGGGAGTATTGGATAAGGAATGCTGGGTCATTCATAGATATGGCATGTAATTTGGTAAAAAAAAAAAAAGCATTAAAGCAGAACAAAATGCCATACATGTGATATGTACCGGCGGTACGCAAAATGTACAGTTTTTCGAGCCCCTTCATCATGTACCGGCGGGACACCAAAATTCATGGAATATGAAAATTTGTACAGTATTTTGAATTTCTCGCTAAATGCCGCCATTTTCCTCTCATTCTCGCTCGCGAGACACTGGAAAACGTCACCTTGTTTCACACTTGACCTGATGATAATTGTGTAGTGTACACAAACCATCGCGTGCGAAGGTGTGAACTGCCAAATTGGATAATTATCTTGCTATAAATCTGTATCAAATACCCCTTTAGGTAGCTTTATTTTTAAAGGGGTACTTAATTATAACTGTTAATATTTCGTAACTTGATTGAAAAAAATTAAGCCAACTTCTAAAGTCACGAATCTGACCCAGATCTTTGTAGGTATAAAATATACAATGTTTATTACCATGATTACGCTGAAATTTCAGAAGAATTTAAGCGATATTTTATACCGTTTTTTGTACCATTTTTTGATAGGCAGTGTACAGTTTTTTTCACCCAAATTCCAGTTTTTTATGGCTCCTGTACAGTTTTGTGGTCTTTGACTTATCACATGTATGAAATGCATACTTGATCTGTTACTTGTCAAATTAGAAACACACACCAAAAATCAGGAATTAAGAAAAAAAATGAAAAAATATCAGTATGATAAACAAAAGTGAAAGTAAAGGGTTTAGAAAATACATGTATTTACAACTGCAGTAAATTTTTATATATAGTACCGGTAATTTCATACCCAGCTGTTTATATTGTTTGCAGACAATTTGACAGATGAACAGAAGCAGTGGTTTATAGACTACTATAAGAAGCTTTGTCATGTGGGTTTAGAAAAGAACAAGGCAAGTAGTAGAGTGACCACGCCTGTAAGTGAAAAGGATCGCAATAAAGTAAGTCATCTGTGTTATACGAGTGCTTGGGAGCGGCTAATCTCTTACCCCAGGGGATCACGCATGGAGCAACAACTCACCTTATTAAAGACTGATACATTCCTTGCCCAGTAATAAAGTGAAGAAATATGTTTTTTTGTAAACATGTATTATCTCAGATCTTTTATGCTACGTTGTATGAAATTTTATCTTAAGTTTAGTTGTTGTTCTGTGAAAAATTCCATATTTTCCTTGATTTTGAATGATGTGTTTTCCATCATTACCTTTCCCCATTTCTCCCGATTGATAGTTTTGAGTGAAATTCCATGAAACTAGCAGTTTGTTTCTTAACATTAAAACACTGATCACCTAAACACCCATATTAATGTGTCCTTCTGTTTATCGAAAAATGGTTTTCAATTAACCTGAAATGTCATGGTTGAGTGATTTCCCATAATGAAACAACATCTTTCTGATCATACTAGATAAAATTTGACCATGTTTGAGTGCCTCCTCCATCCCCCCTCCCTACTCACCCCCAACCATGCTTGATCCCCCACACTTAAGCTACAAGAGGTAATGGGTTTTTACTTACACTTAGTTATATATCAGCTTTTTAATACTCTTCGTAGACTGACTCAGCTAATGAACAATATGGGAAAAGGTCAGAGTGTGACATCACTCAATTATTAATGGCCAGAACTTGAAAAAATATAACCAATTCCATCATATATCAATATATAATGTTCAACAGCTCTCAAGTAATAAGTAATACAGTATTTCAATAATAAAGAGTAAATTACTGCTTTCTAATTTAATTTCTAAACAATTTCTTCTGATAAAATAATTTAGAATATATTTTTTTAAAAATGCAGTTAATACTTATGTAGCAAGAGATATATCTGTATTCTATAGAAGTAGTTTATATATAAGCTAGTAATGTAGAAATGGATTTTCTAGTAATCAGATTCAGACAGTAATAAATCTTTTTCCAGTGGATGCTTCATTCTGTTTCTGATTGTGAGATCAATTTTTAGGAAGCAGACTTGCCTGATATCTTTGAGTTGGAAGACAAATTGGTGGAGTGTAGAAAAAACAGTGCATTTAATTTCCCTGTAAGTTTTCTTTTGATTATTTGCCTGATCTTGCTGTCTATTCATGATTAATATATCTTCAATTTTCTTAGTCTGAGGACTGTCCATTTATTCACTGAAAGAAACATAATGAAAACCAGAAGTAATATGTATAGAACAGTAAATGATGTAAGTTTAAGGGAGCTAGAACTCCTCTGCTTACTGAAATGGATTTTTTATGCCCCGCCATGAATATGGCCGGGGTATATAGTGTTTGTCATGTCCGTCTTCCGTCCTTCCGTCCTTCCGTCTGTCCTTCCGTCACACTTTGCGTTTAGCTCTGTTCAAAGCTCAGTTTCAAAGAAACTATCCAAGATATTTTTATCAAACTTCATATGCTGATAGATATTGATTAAGGCTATGCAACTGCATCAACATTTTTTGACCTTGACCTTTCCTTTGACCTTGACCTCGCTTTTCTTAAATTAGTGTTTAGCTCAGTTTTAAAGATACCATTCAAGATAGTGTAATCAAACTTCATATGTTGATACATACTGATGTAAGCTATTCAATTGCATCAACATTTTTTTGACCTTGACCTTTATTTTGACCTTGACCGCACTTTTCTTAAATTAATGTTTAGCTCTGTTTTAATGAAACCATTCAAAATATTTTTAACAAACTTAATATGCTGATACATACTGATGAGAGCTATTCAGCTGCATCAATATTTTTTACCTTGACCTTTCCTTTGACCTTGACCTCACTTTTCTTAAATAAGTTTTTAGCTCAGTTTTAAAGATACCATTCAAGATAGTGTTATCAAACTTCATATGCTGATACATACTGATGAGAGCTATTCAACTGCATCAATATTTTTTGACCTTGACCTTTCCTTTGACCTTGACCTCACTTTTCTTAAATTAGTGTTTAGCTCAGTTTTAAAGAAACCATTCATAATATTTTCATCAAACTTCATATGCTAATACATACTGATTTAACCTTTTCAACTGCATCAACATTTTTTGACCTTGACCTTTCCTTTGACCTTGACTTCACTTTTCTTAAATTAGTGTCAAACTTCATATGCTGATACATACTGATGAGAGCTATTCAACTGCATCAATATTTTTTGACCTTGACCTTTCCTTTGACCTTGACCTCACTTTTCTTAAATTAGTGTTTAGCTCAGTTTTAAAGAAACCATTCATAATATTTTCATCAAACTTCATATACTAATACATACTGATTTAACCTTTTCAACTGCATCAACGTTTTTTGACTTTGACCTTTCCTTTGACCTTGACCTCACTTTTCTTAAATTAGTGTCAAACTTCATATGCTGATACATACTGATGAGAGCTATTCAACTGCATCAATATTTTTTGACCTTGACCTTTCCTTTGACCTTGACCTCACTTTTCTTAAATTAGTGTTTAGCTCAGTTTTAAAGAAACCATTCATAATATTTTCATCAAACTTCATATGCTAATACATACTGATGTATCCTTTTCAACTACATCAACATTTTTTTATCTTGACCTTTCCTTTGATCTTGACCTCACTTTTCTTAAATTAGTTTCTGAATCAAATGTCATATGCTGATACATACTGATGTAAGCTATTCAACTGCAGCAATATTTTTTGACCTTGACCTTTCCTTTGACCTTGACCTCACTTTTCTCAATTTGTGTTAAAATGTTGCATTACTAATATACCCTTGGCGGGGCATTCATGTCCTATGGACATATTTCTAGTTTTTTTGCAATTTTCTCACAAAAGATGATAAAAAAGAAATAAAATTCATGTACATTTAGTCATTATTCAAGGTAAAATTGGGTTGGGGGATCTTCGTGGAAGAAGAGTATTTATAAAAAGGATTCAAGGTCTCTTAGCTAGAGTTATATCTCTTAGCACAGTTATCTCTCTTAGCAAGAGTTATCTCTCATAGCAGAGGGTCAATTCTCTTTAAGTAAGTCTGGTATAGAAATGATAAGGGTGACTACTCTTAAGTTATAGAGATGAGGGAGATTACTCTTAAGTTATGGAGATGATGGAGATTAGGGAGATTACTCTTAAAATATGGAAATAAGGGATACTCTCTCAAGTTATGGAGATGAGGAAGATTACTCTTAAGTTATGGAGATAAGGGAGATAACTCTTAAGTTATGGAGATAAGGGAGATTACTATAAAGTTTTGCATGAAGAATCTGTTTTAAAACATTTGAACCTAATATGTGTAATTTATTCATTGTTCCTTTGTGTTGTTTCTAGGCAATGGTTTTATTTACTGGTGCAAAACAGTTCAAGTCTGACCTACATGTGACCTTTACTCACCTCTGTAAGGATCCCCATTTCATAGTTCGGAAAACTATTTCAAGCGGTTTTCACGAAGTAAGTTTACAGTATTTCTTCAACATTTTTCAAATGAGTGTTAAATTTTATTTTAATTACTTGTGAAATCTGAAAAGCGCTGTTTAAATGGTAGCTTGCAGTAGCTTTTATATTTGTTTGCCAGGATTTAATTTTTTGACATTTCTCAACAGGTATGTAAGCTGCTAGGAAACAGCGCACAGTTGATTCAGTCAGATTTAGTGGCCTTGTTGAAGGATGACTCAATAGACGTGAGTTTTATCACCAGTCTTTAAAGTGAAATATGTTTTCAAAATCTTCATTATTCCAAAATTAATAGACTTATCTTTAAGCTTTCTACAATTATAATTATTGTATAAATCTTTTTTTCTCCTCATCAATGTAAAATTAAATAATGAATTGTCATCTCCTTGTCATGTTTTCTTAATCATTGTAGAATTATCTGAGGATATCTACATGTATATTGTGATTAACTTATTTTGAATTTTATATGTAGAAACTAAATTTATTTTAATTTTTTTTATTCAGGTACTAAAAGGTGTTGTGAGCAATATGCCAGCCATTCTGGACTGTTACATGACCAGTGGCAGCAATCACACAGTTACCGAGTCTAAAGTAAGAGGGACAACTCTGGTTTACCAATTTGTTTTCAGCATTTCCTGAGAGAGTTCTCTCCCTTACACCACTACCTCTATAAAGCAGATCTGATGTCCTGTTTATTTTTATTTTCAGTCTGGCCCCCTTTCCGACATCATTCCAGCCTTTCTGGCATCAGAGAATGTGATTTTTACCTCCAATAACTGGAGACTTCAGCAGGAGTTGATGGAGAGTATGGCTTGCCTTATTAGATGTTACTCCAGTGAAAACCTCTACAACAAAGTCATTCCAATACTGAAACAAAAGCTCTGCAAAGCTGTAAGATTTCATTTCTCCCAGAATTTAGTTTCAGAAGACATATAACTAGTTACATCTTAGTCACTGCATATTCTTCATGATATTTGTCTTTTCAAGAAGATAGTGCAGATACTTTGCTTATGCTATAATGATGTAATTATCTTTGATCCTGTACTTTGAGTTGAGGGATGATGGAATGACTGTATGTTGTTTTGTTTTTCAGAGGGCACTGCCAGTGAAGATAGCGGCTGCTAGGTCTTTATTGACCTTGACAAGGAAGGTGAAGAAACGCGAACAAAGAGAAGAAATATTTCACATTTTAATTCAAGGTTAGAAATTATAGGTCCACAGTAACAATATTGAATGAGAAGCATTGCTGTGCTAAAAATAATAAATTAATAATTCTCTCAAATTAGTGTTCCTACCATGAACATGTATTTTTCTTTTTTTTTGGTTTCAGAAAGTTTTACCTCTGAAGTAAAAAGAAACTGCATGGAGATCCATGTTTTATTATGTCCTTCTCTTAAGCATTATGCCTATTGCCTTGATTATTGAAACATTTTTTGGGTTTGATTTTTGCAGACTTTTGCCATGCCAGGAAGTGTTATCTTAGAAGTGTCTTTGTGGACATCTGTAGTGTTGTGATAGAACTGTACTCCAAGAAATTCTTCAAGGAAACTTTCTTTGAATATCTATTGGAATTACACACAGACAGTGTGCCAAATATAAGACTACGTTTGTGTTCAATTTTACCTGACTTAAAACGTTTACTAATCCTTCCGACTGATCGAGGTCTCTTACAGCAATTAGACGCTTGTGTTCGCAAATTGTTAGTTTCTGAAAAGGATAGAGACGTGGCAGATGCTATTCACAGTGCTGTGGAGGAATTGGACAAAATTCACATTCCAATGCAATCTGTAAGTCTTGGTTATTACAGTCAGTGTACATAATTTAGCAGTTATCATATTTTAGTGCCTTTGGCTATGCTTCTTGACTGCTAATTCAGGTTCATATATGGTTGAAACAAATACGTACAGAAGCTTGGCTTCCCATACCTGAATTTATAATTTCACTAATCAGTTGTTGAGGGAGATTGCACTTAGTTTTGAGTGCGTTAATTAATTTACATTTAAGGTAGTCTGAGAAAAATCATCACATAGGGCAGAAGACCTATAAACTTTAAAAATCTAAGTGTTGGATTCTTAATAAACAGGGTTTTTTTCTGTATGAAAAAGCAATATTTTTTCATGTGTTTTCATAGAAATGTGTTGCAAGGATCGACACAGAATATAATTAGGCACTACGGTAAACAATACTAAGAATTACCAGTAAATGTTTCTTTCTTTCTTTCTTTAAGATGACACGAAGAAACTTCTTTGAACAAGATTTTGAAGATCAAAAGAAAGAGGAAGAAGAAAAAATATTACTGGAGAATGTAAGTGTTGGGGTCCTGAAATAGAGAGAAAGGAATTGCAATTCACCAAGAAATGTTGTTTACACATTCAGTTAATTGCATGTGATTGATTATAAAGATTTGACAGCACATACAGTTAAACCTTGTTATCTCGAACTCAATGGGACTGAGAAAAATCTTCGAGATATCCAAGGATTCGCGATATCCAGGGTAAAATACTTAAAGAATAAGGGGTTGGGACTTCCAAATCACTTCAACATATCCATGGTATTTGAGATATCAGTGTTCGACATACCGAAGTTCAACTGTACTTTTGTAAGATTGTAACACCCATTATTTTATGTTTATTTGCTGTATGTATATGGATTTATTTTTACTGTAGGAGGAGAGGGAAATGAAGAAGGAGGAAGAAGCGGCAGAAAAGAAGAAGGGAGACAAACGCAATCTAGTGTCGGCTAAAAAGGGCTCGGAAAACGGCTCCTCCAGTAAAATCCCAGCCCCACGGAAAGGTAACGATCCTGACTAACAGGGCAGAGTTAGCTTAGTGTTTGAGTAATTCTTCTACTCTTAACTCTATTTCAGCATTTAAAACATTGATGCTGTTTTCAGGTTCGCGAGCTGGCTTATCGGGCTCAAATTCCACTACAAAGAGTAAGAATGATTTTTTTGACCTAGTTTTTTCTTATGTACATCTGCTGTATGTTTCTCCACCTCTGCACTAATCATCAGTACACCTGTACTCGCCTTTGAAGTCGGAAAAGGTTTTTTAAGAACATATGCACTTGTATTAAATTGAAGCATTTTCTTGCACAGCTATTGTTTTGGTAGAGGTGAACGTGTTTTAAAAAAAAAAAATTAGTTATCCCTTAGTCTCCTTGATTGATTTTGTTTGATGTAAAAATAGTTTTCGGACATGTATTTAATATTTAATGTATTGTCACTTCATTTACCCTGGGCACGCACAAAAAATATGCATGCAATTTTCATGGTATGCACTTGAACTCTTTCTTCGTTATAAATTGTCATGTAATTTGAAAACTGGCAATATTATTTTGAAGACAAGCTTTGCTTGCATTTTGAATTTTCCAAGAGAAAGTTTCTTGTAATCAGATTTTGTGTTTTTGACAGAGTTTTTATATCCATCACACATTGCAACAGAAGGTAATAAATCAACCCCTGGGGCTTGCTGATTTATTTTATCTGCTTGTGCATATCAAGAGATCTGAGCATCATTTTTTTTCTTGATCATATTCTGTGTATATATTCTATTAGAACAAGAGGGTCAGATTTTCTACTTGGGTTTAAACTGTTTTTTATGTGTGGTATATACTGTTGTAAGGCACATTATTATTTTAATATGTAAGTGATCTTATATATATAGATTGTGATAACATTGTGGTGAGGGAATTACATGTATATATATGTATATATAAAGTTAATCTGTACACAATATATATTTTTTAGGCAAATGTTACAGATAATAATATTCCTAAATATACAATGTATATTGAATACTTGATAAATGATTCGGGTCGGAATGTTTTCTTTTATAGTTGCACTATAGTTTCTTTCATTCAAACATATATATCTAGTTTGAGGACATTTTTTGAAATATACAGAGTAATGATTTACTTCACAGAATTAGGACATCCTAGTTTTCACTTATTGATTTAATAATATAACAAAATTAGATTTAGTTTTAAACATTTAATTGCCATACATAAAGCACACAATAGATTGGGTTTCCTGGAGAGGTTTTTCTTTTGCTGTGTTTGAAGAGTGTAGCAAGAGAAGGAAGGAAAATATAAACCTAGACATAATCCAGAAAATATCTCTGATCTAGGGTAGTTTGTTGTTATCTATTCATCATCTGAATTTCCTGATGAAATTTTTTTTCTGTCTGCTTTTAAATCTGTAACAGGCCATACAGCTTTGACTAGAGCAGACAATTTGCCTTTACATTGTATTTGATCTGGAATAGCAGAGTACAGATTTATCTAATGTTGATGAATGTAGGGAGGACATGATACATCATGAAAGATTAATCTTAAAATTTCAACTCACCAATGAAAATAATGAGAATTGATATGGGACAAAATGTAAACTTTTTTGTGATATTCAGACATGTTATTTAAAAATTTGTAATAATTAATGCATCTGCATGTAGCATTTTCTCTTGATGTTAATGGTCACAGTTTGATTTTTTTTTTTAATGATGGGTCTATTTTAAATTTTGTGGATTAATTACATAAATTACAGTTGAGCTTGTATAACATTTTGATGTTTATTTTTATTCAAGATGAGAACAAACCGGTCACTCCCAACACAAAGGGGACGGGAACCAGTAATAATAGACTGGTCAAATCTAAGTCCATCAATTGTATTTCTCAAATTCCAAGACGAGGTAAAAAAAAAAGCATGTGCATCCCCATAACATGTCTGAAACATTGACAAAAAACCTAGAATATGCTTCCCCTTTACCAACTTGTGCAGTACCAGTAATGTTTTGTCATTATTTTTTGTAGATACTGAAGATCTAGGTTAATAGAGCATGCTTTTTTCATGATAAATGAGAGCATGCAAATTTTATTCTCTAATGCTTGTGCTGAGATTCTATTTTTTTTTTAAATATATATAATTAACAGTATAGGAAAGTTAGTGAGAAGAAGTTGTAGGATTTTTTTCTTAGAAATTTAATTGAATGATATACATTTACATAGCATGAAGCACAATATGAAATTAAACAATTAAGATATGTTTGTGAAACACTGATACTGCATTATGGCAACTAATGGCTGAGGTTTAAGTTTTTCAAAAGAAAGTCATACTCCAAGGTCAAGATAAAACAAAAAATTGGGATCCAAAGAAAGGCTTGTCAAAAGGAATACACATGTGAAATATGAAAGTTGTAGCACTAACTATTCAGAAATCATGGCCAAGGTTAAAGCTTTTCAAATAAGGTCATACTCCTAGGTCAAGGTCTTGAAATCAAAAATGTTGAAAATCAAAATATAGGTCTTGTCTCTAGAAATAGACATGTGAAATATGAAAGCCATAGCACCAACCTTTTAGAAATTATGGCAAGGTTATTTGTTTTTCAAAAGTAGGTCAAACTTCATGGTCAAGATCTTGATAAAACATGTTGTAATCCCCAAAAAAAGAGCTTGTCAAAAGGAATACACATAGAAAATATGTAAGCCTTAGCATCAACCATTCAGAAGTTATGGGCAAGGTTAACATTTTTCAAAAGTAGGTCAAACTCCAAGGTCAAGGTCTTGAGGTCAAAATTGGTAGTACCCAAAGATAGGTCTTGTCACAAGAAATACCCATGTGAAATATGAAAGCCCTTGCACTTACCTATGGGAAAGGCTAAAGTTTTTCAAAAGAAGGTCAAGGTCATGAGGTCAAAAATGTTGGTACCCAAAGAAAGGTCTTGCCACAATGAATTCACTTCTGAAATCTAAAAGCCCTAGCACCAACTTTTCAGAAGTTATGACAAAGATAAAAGGTGGTTTAAATTTTTTCAAAAATAGGTCAGAGTCGAACTTCAAGGTCATTTGGTAAAAAATGTTGGTACCCAAAGAAAGGTCATAAGAAATACATATGTGAAATATGAAAGTTCTAGCTCCAGCAATTTAAAAGTTAATATGGGCAAAAGTAAAGTTTTTGTGGACAGACCAAAAACTATATGCCTCCGAATCTTCAATTACAGGGGCATAAAAAACAATAAAAACATACGACTTCTAAAATGTGCGCACATAGTCATTAGTAAATTTTAGTTTATATTATAGCTTAAGTTTAATCCTTTTCTTTTACATCAACTTTTGATATATATAGCTTGCTGACCAGAATAAAGAAGGTGTTTTATGACCTAATTAAACTTTTATTTTGTATCTTGAATTTCAGTTTTTCTGATTGAACATTCATTTTCTATCTCAATTTTCAAGTATCAATGGACTTTAATTTTTCTATATTGCAGCATGTCCAATGTAATTTCTTGATCTTGTTTAATTTTATAATTTGAAGGTTCTTTATTAATATTGTATATACAGATACTGCCATTTTTTTGTTGAAATATATCTTTGTAATAGCTAATTTTAAGCCATTGTGGATTTTTTTGTTGTTGTAAATTTATATGAAATGAGTGCACTCAAAACAAATAAATTTAAGCAATTTTTGTTAATATCATTCATATGATAAGATTTTAGTCCCACTAAACAGATTATTTTGAAGCTATGATGTTATTGAAGACTTTTGCTGCACGAGTTGTTGGTTCATGGCCGTCCCAGAAAATCTTGGTATTGTGCAGTTTTGTTTAAGTCCATGCATATACGAAAGTCTTTCTTATCTTTAAATTTGGTCTTCAGATAGCAAGGAGTTGTCAAAGACTAAGATTGTGTCATCTGCCCCCACCCCGGGGAAGACTCCAGGTCAGTATGTCTGTCTGTCTCGTTTCGTGGCTGTCGTAGCGTTTCTTTGACTGTTCCGTCTACGTACGTCTTTCGTTTATAATATTAAGGATCCCAATTCTGTTGACTTTCATCAGTCTTGTTTTTATCTATATCTGTCATATCCCATGGATAATTTCTGTTTTGTTCATATGGATTACTAATACCAAGTGTATTATATTGGAAACTTTCTTTGTATGTAGAAAGTGTGTTTATTAAGAATTGTCTCTGAATTGAGAGGTGGACTAGGAGAAACTTTTTCCTGCCTTCTTGTTTTAAATTCCACTAATCTTTTTATCCTTTCTCAGTATCTATACAACTCCAAATGTAAATTTAAACCACAGTTTTTTTCCCAGCATTTTATTTCACTTTATATATTCTCCACCAATTCCCATTTTAAGGCAATAAAGCTCAGGTGAACAGTAACACATCCAAACTGCCATCAAGAGATTCCAACGTAAACAAAAAGGGAGTTTCGTCTCCTAAACTATCACGACTGCCTCTGTACAACTCCAACCCAAATCTTCACCAGGGACGACCGTCTTCTCCCTCCCTTATCCCCATCAAAGGTGAGGCTAGGAGGAGGCATAAGTGAAGCATTGTACAGCATTGTGCAGCATGAATTGTGTTTTGAAGGCTAGAGGCATTGTTTTGGTGGAGGGACACTGTGTCACATTGTGGGCATGTTCTATTAATTTGATTTGCTCTTCTTATCATTTATCTCATACTTTTCTTCATTGACGGTGATCTTTTGTATAGCTGTATTGTCGTTAGTAAACGTTGATTGTGGCTGAATGAGTTGTGTTGCCGAGCTTGGTGTAACTTGTATGCATTGTGGTGCCAGCATTAACAAACAGTAACAGCTAGGTGTTTTTTTATTCTACGTTGAAGCATTGATAATTGATCAATTTTGTTTCTTTTACTTAGAGCATGTAGTCCTGATATGATTTTCCAGGAGAATGGAAGAGGACAGACTTTGTGGTGCTTGTCTTTAAACATTGAATTGATTATCCTATTCTACTGCTATGTCTTGATTTATTCTGTTGCATCAAGTCTCTAAAGTTGCATTATTGTATTCTTATTTTTTTCTCCTCTCTCTAGAATCCTGTTTTTAGCTGTGAATACAAGACTATACCAGAATCAACAGACTTTTTTGTGCACTGTATTCCAAATAGCCTGCTGAATGTGTTAAAGAACAACTTTATAATTACCATTCCTGAACTATGTTCCTCTCTTTTTTATAATACATTGTAATTAAGTTTTTTACTGTTTTAACATACATATCTATATATACATGTATGTTGTATTTTGCTGTCTGCATAACCTGTCTGATTTAAAACTGGAAGTGGGGATTTTATTTCATGTTGAACGGAACAGATTTTTTTGGTTGTACTTAATTTATGCACAAAATATGCTTTTCAGACGGAAGAAAAAATGTTTTGATAACATTTCAGAGTACAATTTTTTTGTTTTTTTCTGTTAGTTGTTTTTTGCAAAGGAAGAAGAAAACAACACTGCAACTGGAATTTAACTGGAATTGAATTGATTTTGTTTGGTTTCTAATATTTTAGCCTCCACCACAAGTACAACCAACAAAACGAGCAAGACGACTCGCGGAAGTGGTATCCCGGCCCCCGGGAGTGCAGGATTAAGGTGAGATTTCTTGATTTCTCCTGTTGTAATAGTGCGCTGTGTCCTCTAAACTTTTGTGTTGTTTTTGGCTAAACAGCACAAAGAAAGTATTAATGTCTTCTGGCTCTTTTCTGAGTTTATTTCCTTATAAGGAGAATTGACATTTCTTTTGCCTCCTAAATTTTTCATAAATCCTTTAACAGATTATATATCCGGATATTTCATTTTATTTCTTCTTCGTTTTTTTTTTTTTTTATTATTTAACAGAACTGTTTCTTCATCATTGACATCTAATTTATTTACTTTTACAAACATAAGTTTTTTTTAAGTTCAAAATGGATCATCATAAGTCAATCTGTATATTATGTTTAATGTACTTGTATCTACCTATAAGTATTATCCCATAGACCAAAATGCTATTTTTATAAGTATGAGGTGGTTTGTTTTATTGTATATAAACCAGAAATGTAAAGCTAGGCTACAATATGATTGATTTGAAACTGAAAAGAGCTAAATTGCAGACAGTAATGTAAAGCTAGGCTATATGGTATCATAATGACTTTATTATTGATAATGTAAATGCATACAGTAATATTAAGGTAGGCTTTGAAATTGAAAACTAAATTGTACATGTTGAAAGCAGGAATGTAAAGCTAGGCTACAATATGATTGATTTGAAAATGAAGAACTAATATTTAAATATATGAGTTTTGTGTTCAAAATGGATAATTTTCTTGGAATTAAAGACATGTGATTAGTGTGAGCCAAGAAATATTGGAGTCAATCCAAGAATTTATATAAAAATATATATCTACTGATGTACCTGTAAGAATTGCAGTGCATTAACAAGCATGGAGCTTAAATGTGAAAATTAATGAAGCATAAATTTCATTCTTCATGTATTATGTATTCATTGACCAGAAAAAGAATGTCAAATTTTAAATGAAGAAAAACATGAGATGTAGCATTTTGCAAAAAACAAAACCAACAACTTAAAAGCCTAAATTTTTAAGTAATAAGCTCATGCACCTACATTGTATACTGGCAGCGTGTGTGTGTCCACTTGGTGTTGATGTTTTAGTAGCTCCACAATTTGTGTGTTTGTTTGTTGGTGTTTCAGACGTGCCTCTGTGCCCACTATTTCTACCAACAGAAGAGGATCATTAGGTGGTCAGCTTAGCACTGGTAGTTACAAACGCTTTCAATCTGTTGGCTTGGCTAGCTTTTAGCGCAGCTGACTTTTTCAGCTTTTTTTCTTTTTGCAGTTTTTTCAGCAGGACCTAAAGCCGTTTTTTTTTTATTTTTAGAAAATTGAGTTTCAATTGGTTAATAGTTCAAGTATATATACTTATTGCAAAATTTCATTCTAATTTGTACTTAAACATTGTATGCACCAATTGCTCATTTATAGCATCTGCTCATTTAAAATATATAAATTATTTAAAATTATGCAATAATTGTATAAAAAAAATGTATTTATATATATATATATAGTTGTTTAAAGCTAGATTTATGTGTAAAGCACTTACATAGCTTGTAATTGAAACTCACTTTTAAGTGTGAATTAAGATCGATTTCAAACAATCCAGAGTGATTTTAACATAGGGTACATATGCCCTGGCACCAACAGCACTGGCACCTTATAACCTCTCTTCCTCTTAACTTTAAACGAATAATTAACACAGTTAAATTACATCACAATTATGAAATCATTTCACATGGGCATTGTTGCATTGATGGTTAAAACAAGTTTGTTTTCCTGTTTATTAAAGAATATTATGTCATTTTTAGAGCATTTTTATTACCAAGTATGAATTTATTGAAAATATTCATTATGGTGGGTTTTTTTTTTACACATTAATGGTCAAATCATTTAATTTTCAATTTTCTATGCATAAGATAAGATATTAAGTTCCTAACATCATTCATATATTTCATTATATGGATCAGCTCAATTGCATTCGCCACTTTAGATTTAGAAGTGTGCAATAAATTTGTTATTAATTATTCGAACTGTCTTGACTAACTTTAAAAAAGGCTTAAAACAACTTCAGGTATTTTGTTTTTGACTTATTTTGACATTGATTTTTTGGAGATTATTTTGTGCAAGATCTATAGATTAAATTTTTTGAAATATTATCAGCAAATGATGTATGAATTAATTGCTTCTTGTTTGATTTTGACATCATTTTACCTATCAAGTGTATTGTTGTATGAAACTTTAATTACAAACAAAAACACAAAAAATGACAAATACTTTTAAAATATATAGGTGATTTTTATAGAAGAAAGAATTTAAGATGAATTTAAATTCAAATTAATTCAAAATCAATTTAAATTGATGATGTCTTTTACTAATACAGCTTGTTTTTCAAGGTTTGATTTGATTTTTGTTGAAGTTTTGATTTGATTTTTTTTTTTACGTAAAACTAATTAATTAAACCCTCCTTCCATCACACTGGCCCAATCATTCACACCTGTTGGTACTTATAACATCTCGAGAGTTAACTATTACAGAATCCTTTTGTTTAATTCTTCATCACCGTGACCATTATTATATAGATCTGCTCTCCACAGATAGAATTCAAAACATTGTGTTAGAAATGATTAATGATTCCATCTTAAACATAAATCTTGTTAAAAGGTTACAGCATTACATGTGTTAATCATAATTTTTTTTTACCTGTTTTTATTTAATATTTACACAGTGGTGAAATCAGGGGTTATTCCCCTCATTAATATTAAAACAAGATGAGTGTTTCAGCTTTTAAAAAAAAAGACCTCGTAACATTAATTCATATTGATATGCAATTTTTTTTTCACTAGTTGTATAGAGATTTGTAATTAATTAGAAATGTAATTTAATGTTTGTATCAATGTTATTTGACATTTTGGCTTATACGATGTTCCCTGTTTTTTTTTTCTTTGACAGAGGTGACTCCAAAAGCAAAAGGCAGTAATGGTGCACTGACTCCGTCCATTAAGTAAGTGTCAAATTACTTTGGAGCTGTTAATTATTTTTTAATATCATTTGCATTTTAATAGCTTGTTTTCCTTTCTGAGTTAAAATCTTATATTTTAATAATTTTTTTAACCATGTTCTTTGAAAAACAAAATTATTGGACATAGTTCATAAACGGCCCAACTTGATTAAGCTCAAACTTGTCAGGACTGTCGACAAAGTTTGAGATACATGTAAGCAGGTGTTTTAGGATATTGTAGGTAAAACTCATACACATGTATTATAGTAAGGTCATGATCAAGTCAACTTTGACTTATTTTGACATCACTTTATTACATCTTGGCTTGGTGAATATTGTTCTCTTTAGCTGATCATCATACTGACATAAAAAACAGCAGTTATTGTTTAACTAAATATCAATATTTTAGACATCCTATTCAAACTTTATTTAGGTAATCATACTATACTTTTTATTTTACAGAGAAAGGAAACAATCGAGATAATCTGGTGCAGTAAGGAAGCATCTGCATCAAGATGCATCTTGGGAAACATTGTTTCTATAGTGACTGTGATAGAACCAATCAGATTTCACCTGATGTTTGTGTATTATGTTGATCCTGTTAAGTTTATTACTTATATACTGCTGAAAAACACGGACAGATTTTACTTCAAAAAAGAAGGAAGTTAATAAAAAGACATCTGCTAAATCAATACTGCTAATGAAGACATCTGCTAAATCAATACTGTGTTAATGAAGACAGCTGCTAAATCAATACTGTTAATGAAGACATCTGCTAAATCAGTACTGTGTTAATGAACACATCTTCTAAATCAATACATGTACTGTTAACTAATGACGGTGGCAAATCATGAGGGTGGACTAGCACCATTTGTAAAGTGCCTGGAAGTTGAAGTATATTTGTATGTCATTTGAGATGTGCAAGACCGGACAACATTCCATTCTTTTTTTTTTTGTTTTATTCATAATTTATAATAGTCATATTAGCAAAATGATCACAAGTATAAATCAAAATCCTGTGATGTCTTCATGTTGATTTTGTACTGAAAAACTGTTGCAGGATTTTTTTTTTTTAGAAGACAATGTATTACAAAATGGCTTTCTGTGTCAGTTGGAATAAATACGCATAGTAGAAACTATGAAATGTCAGTTATTCAGGTACAAAACTGAGTCATTCCAGTAATTTAAAGCTAGATTAAAAAAAAGTGCCTAGATTGTTGAAAACTTGTAAATTTCAGTGAAGAAATAATGTTGCAATTATTACTCTGTAGGTTATTTGTCTCAGATTTCTGTATGTGTTGCTATCAGCATGTTTTCTGGGTGCAATCATTAGATGAGAGTTATTCCAGAAATATATGGGAAATTAATGTAATACATGTATATTTTTTAAGGGAAATGGCAGAGCATTGTTACAATAATCCTAGATTTGTTACTTTAAACAAAGTTGAAATTTCTGTTTTTGCAGAGCTAGAGTGTAAAAATTCATTAAAAATTAAATCACTTTTTTTATATTTTCATTCCAGTATTCTGAAGACTTTCTATGCCATAATTTGATTGTTTTAAACAGTGTTAAGAAGCGAATGTTCTGTAATGTTGATGTATTAGTGTTTTTGTTGAATGAAGAATTTTGTGCAATTGGCAATGAATCAGACATAATTCTATGTGCATGTGTGTTTTACACAGTATTTTTCTTGGTGTTACATATGTTGAAAGACTGTGTTATCTATGAGAGGGAGTTTATTTTTGTTGATTAAGAAACCTAGATGTGCCTGTTGTGTATGAAATTTTAATATTTTACTCTTTAAAGTTGAGATCATTTTTTTAATTTTTAAAAAAATGTTAAGTAACAGCTCATTGTAGAAGCCCATACTTTCAGATATTTACTACTTGGCACCTACATTTAATTGTAGTATTAGATATATTGTCTTCTTTTGTTTACACTACAGTATTTTGAAAATAAAAATTGCACTATAGACAGCTGGTAGAGAAAAAAAGGATTTTTTACATTTATATTCAGTGATAAACATTTTAAACTAAAGATAATGCATTCTTCTGTGATGAACACAGTCTGTGTTCAGTGCTTGTAACCTCTGATGCAATAGAAACCTAAAGAGATTGTTCCAAGTTTTATTTACGACCAATCATGTTACAATGTTTTATCAAAAGCACTGCAAGTACAAGGGTTAAACAGGAAGTCAAAAGTTTGAAGAATCATAGAATAGCCTCCCTTTAGCCAAAATAAAATGTCACTTCTAAAGGCAATAAAATAGTTCCTTAGATGTGACAGACAGGTAGACAAGGAGACTCTTCTTTTTCTTGACTTCTTCTTTGAAAATTATGCTAGTAATGAAATTAAGAATGCCCCCCCCCCCCCCCCCCCCCCCCAACTGGTATTTGAATAAATAATTTTTAAGAATTAAGATTTACATTTATGTCCCTTGAGTTGTGGCAGTGTTAAATGTCTTTTGATGAAATTATAACTTTGTAGTAAACATACTGTTACTGTTTTTTTTTCCTTGAGAAATGTGATAAAGAGACCATGACACATTTTTATCAGAGTTCTCTCTCCTGTTATTGGTTGTTGATCTGACACTATATCTAAGCCCCTGTTGTAGCTAATGTCTGTGTATAACTGCTGGTATTGTATAAACTCTGTCACTTATATAGAACTATTTTCTTTACTATTGTACATGTAGTTGCAGCTAAACATGTCAAAATGTTATTTTTTTTATTTTGAAGAACTGAACTAGAATTTCCTCTCTACTTTACAGTACTGGTTAAATTTTGATAATGGAGCTGGTAGAATTTGTACACCAGATTCAGCTGTGATTCTGTTGCATTGTTTGTGGAGAGAACTTGGGTGCTTCAGACCTTGTGGTTATAATGATGTCATCGTATTAAAATGCAATATTATTAAATGACTCAACTGATTGACTTTAGTTTTTGGTTTTATTTGTCACAAAATGAAGTTTGCCAAAATTTATCGTTTCAACATGAAATGATACAGAGATCGAGAGGGAAGTTCATGTAATAATGCATTTCACCTTTGAAAGATTGTGTGCACTTTATTATGCTTGAAAATGGACATTTCGTACTTTGTGTCAAACGTAGCATTTAACATTATAATCCTTAATTAGATTTAAATTGTCATGCTGTTTGACTTTGAAAGTGATAGTTATCTTTTGTAATAATCCCCACCTGCAGTAAATGCTTTTGTGTGCATGTGAATTTGTAATTCACAAAGTTTGGTAAATTGGCCGTAAAATCTTTCCATAGATATAAGGATCAAATCTGTTCATGAAGATGTAATTTAGCTGCTCAACTCCTTGTGAGTCTACGCTGGAGATCTTTGTGATCATATTCAATTCTTGTTCTCTAGTTAAACATTGATCATGTTAAACCAGGTCTTTAATTAAGATTTGTTCTGATGAACACCTCCACATCAATCGTTTTCTACAAAGACAACGCCTTAACAGCTATGTCACGCAACGTCTACTGAAATATAGATAATACACTGGTACCAAAATTTTAAATGGAGACCTTTCCAGTAGTCAATATACCATATACAGAATTGAAATGTGTTATAAATCCAATCAAGACTGGCTTTAAATTAAAGGACAACCAAGTTAATGAAATCAGCGACAATGACTTGTAGTATTCCAAATGCTCATTATCTTTTTTTATTGGACAGTAACTGCCATATTTGACAAATGTACATCCATAATTGATGGTTTGGAATGTCTCTGCGCAAGTTCAAGAACGCGGTATCTTAATAATTTATTCTGGTGATGTTTGTTCCAAACACGAAGACACACAGACTGGTTGCTATGAGTAACGGGAGGCTGGGAGGTGACGTGACTGGACCATTTTATGACAACACCAGCTTGGGATATCGGTATTTGTTAATTACAAGGAAATTCTTATTATTGACAGAAAAGTGTATGAACCTTGTTGGAAGAATGTAGACAACAAAAATAACATTAACATACGAATTAGCAAATTTCCGGTGCATTGTTAAGGTTTCCGTCAGTTAGTGAATTTTGATTACTGGGATTTACAACAAAACTTGAAATCAAGGAAATTGCAATAAAAAGCAAAGTATAGGATCTTTGAATTAAAACTTTAAAATTTGTACCTAGTTGTAATCATCTGTGCACTAAGACAGACACTCAATATATGGAACAAATAGCTTTATCCGCAACAGGCCCGTAGGAACCCCCCCCCCCCCCCCCATAATTTTACCAATTATGCTTTACTATAGAAAAAAAAGATTCATTTAGAGTAACTGTTGTGCCGCCAAATATTCTTGCCAGTATATGCTAAACATTAGAAAACAAAGCTCATTTACGGTTCAGGTCCTTCAAAAATGGTTGATGTCCTTTTTTTTTGTCTTGCAAGAGTTTCTGTTATCCCCCCCCCCCTTTCACACGCACAATGAAATTTATTCCTACGGGCCACATTGTATTCGCCAATTCCAAATTATCTTCTGTTTGAAATTTCTTTTAATCGTTTTTCTATTTGAAAAATCAGCTTTTGTTAAGTTATTTTTCTTTACTTCTTAAATTATATTTAACAGTAAGTTCGTATGATTTCAGTTGTCTCAGTTGAGTAAATTACTATTCTAGTAAAACACGATTTTTTTTCCTTTTCAATGTTTTGCAAATACATGTATCCAAACTAGTCGTTCGATAAAAAAAAGTACTATGTAACTTCGAAGTAAAGTCTTTTGATGTTATTGATATAGATTGTAAGTTCAATTTCAACAAAAGGTACCTATTATATTTCTACATAAACAAGATATGTTTGCGAAACACTGATGCCCCCGTATGGCATCTTATAGCAAAGGTTAAACTTTCTCAAATGTATATCAAATATGTTGGCACCCAAAGTAAGGTCTTGTCTCGAGGAATATACCTGTGAAATATAAAACCCTAGCAGCAACCATTGAATAGATATGGAAAAGGTTAAAGTTTTTCAAAAGTAAGTCAAACATCAAGGTCAAGGTCAAATCGTCAATATTAATGGTGCCCAAGGAAAGCCCTTCTCACAAGGAATACACATGTGAAATATGAAAGCCGTAGCACCAATCGATCAAAAGTTATGACCAAGGTTAAAGTTTTCCAAAAATAGGTCAAACCTCAAGGTCAAAGGGTCAAAGTTGTTGGTATCCAAAGAAAGGCCTCGTCACAAGGATTACATATGTGAAGTATGAAAGCCGTAGCACCAATCGTTCAAAAGTTATGGCCAAGGTTAAAGTTTTTCAAAAGTAGGTCAAACTCCAAGGTCAAGGTCAAAGGGTCAAAGTTGTTAGTATCCAAAGAAAGATCTTGTCACAAGAATTACACATGTGAAGTATGAAAGCCCTAGCACCTATGGCTAAGGTTAAAGTTCAGTAAAATTTTGCAAAACTGGGCCAAACTCCAAGATAAGGTCAAAAGGTTAAATATGGTGGTACCCAAAGAAAGGTCTTGGCACAAGGAATACACATGTGAAATATGAAAGCAATAGCTCCAGTTATGGGCAATGTTAAAGTTTTTGCAGACAAACAGACAGACAGATGGACGGACAGGGCAAAAACTACACACCTCTGAATCTTCGACGGGGCCATAAAAATGTTCTTAACTCAAATTATGTACGTCCCTTTGAACGACGTAAATGCAACGATCCTGACTGTCTGCTTTACATTATGCAAATGCTTAGTCACTGTTAACAAGCAGCAGGCTTGTACATACTACATGTATATAAGACTTAAAAATACTAACAAGGGAGTAAGGTTACTGTCACATGGAAAGTCACGTTTTAATGTGACCTTATCTCACTGAACAAGAACTGCTAAGCAGGAGTCAACAATGCGACACTTTCTTTTTCTCCCTTTACCGTTGAAATTATGCTAATACTGTAATACACCAAAATATTTGATAAAAAATCAGAACTAAATCCATACTTTCACCAAAAAATTGGTTGATATTTTTATCATCGACTGTCACCAACTAGTTACAAAATTTCATTCATCTGTAACAGAAGAAGGTTCTTTTTGCATTGCTTGCAATTTTCACTCATCCCCCAGCATCAATGATTATTGTTTGATGAGTAGTTGGTTGTAAATATTGTTATCAAAATTAATTTTTTATGCATCAACATGAAAAAACTCAACTGCAAGGGAACTAGTTCAGAATTTTTACTCATCAGTCAAACAAGCAGGAGAATTAATTTCAGTCTTTTTGATGTTTCTTAGACCCCAACTGCATATAGTTGTTCCATTATAAAGTCTTTTGACACTTGGATATCATTTTAGAAAACAAGGAAAATCCATATCATAAAATTCAATATCCTACACTGATCAGAATAATAGATGCAAAAGCCCAGGGTCGGTTAGTCTTATTTTAAAACAAAGAATTAGGAATATTTTTTATGCTTTGTTTAAGCTTTTCAGTTTGTAAAAATATTTCATTCAGTCTGCTTTTCAAAACTTAAAAGAACACTGAAACAGAAAAAAAGCGAACTATCAAACGTATTTTTGAGTGAATCTTCATTCATACCTTTGAGGAAAATACTAGACTAGGTTTATTTTGATCGGCTAATTAAACTGGTGCTGCCAGGCATTGAAATGCGATGCATTGCAGTACAGCGCAATAAATGCAGATAACATTCTATTTCAACAAGCATTTTACTTGTTTCCATCAATTATTGTTTGATGAATAATTAGTTGTAAATATTGTTACTAAAATTAATACCTGCTATGCCTCTCTGAGCTCAACTGCAAGGGTATAAAATTTTCACTCATCAGTCAAACAGGAGTTTCGATGTTTCTTAGACCCACAAAACCAGTCATTCGATAAAAACAGCACATGTAACATGACATTTATTTCCTTGCCTCATCAAACGAAATGATATTCATTTACGAACACCTCCCTTGACACATTTAGCATTTATTTTTATTTTTTTTTATACAAAGAAGAATAAATAATACACGTTAAGATTTCTATCAGGTAATTCAACGGGATCAGAATTTCCATAAGCAAATATAGAACTGCCTTTGTGTACAGAAAAGTGCATTTATTCCTGTCACTTGAAAGACTGAAGCCTTATAAATCTACCTTTAGACAAAAATATAATTCAAAGACCTAAATCAAAAGGTTGGAGAAATAATTGAAGACATTAAATTTAACAGTACAGCTTTGAGAGCATTGTTGAATAAAAGACTTCTGCACTTTCCATATCAGCGGAAAAGCAATCGAACTCTATGCGTTATGAACTATCTTTGTGAAAGATGTTAATTTCTTTGCTTTATTTCTTAATTTTTCATTGTAAGTTAAAAGAATTCAACACTAATTTCTACAAATTTACGAATTATAGACGTCAACATCTCTATGTCAAAAAATGAATTAAAACTAGTATTTCAAAGGTTGTTTTCTTCTCCATGTATTACAATTTATCACTAAAAACGGGACAGGATACACATGATCCATCAAGGTCGGGAAATAGATCATGCCTTATAGAGAAATGCTAGGGGAATACTATACCAGTCATACGTGATACCAAAGGATGTATAGTAATGGTGGTTCCCAACGGCAACTGTACTCTGTCTTGTTTTATTGCTGTTCGTTTCCTTCCTGTTTTAATTTAAAAAAAAACTGTTGCCTAGGAACAACAATTAATTTGAAAAAATTAGAGGACTGATTTCAACCCTGGTGTGTCCAGGGGTTTGTGTTTTTGCCCTCTTCATGATTTGTAATGTTAATATAAATGGATGTACGAAATCGATAAATGTTCGTTGTTTTCATCTTTTTCATTAGTATTAAATCCTCACAAAATGATATTTCCTGGCTCTTGTAGAAAAAAAATTCCGGCCAATTAACCAGTCTTTGTAAAAACATATATTAAAATGCACGTGAAACTATTTTGTGCAGGTGGGAATAATTATTAATATA